AAAACCCAGGAAGTCATGCCCATTGAGGAGTTAATTCATCTTCCCAGAATCCCTTTGATGTGAATATGTATAGGGGGAATGCTCCCATTTTATATCTAGAGAAAATGAGGCCAAGCTATGGGCCCCAGGAGAATCACTGGAGGACTCAGAATCACAATTCAAAAATTCCCTCCTCTGTTCAGTCTCTTTCATTAAGGGAATGTCTATTTTTCTGTATTTGGATGTAAGCTTTTTTTTAACCGTATGGTTTATATGGACTTTTTAACAGTTGAGCATCTTCACATGAATTTCTGCAAGGATAGACTTACAACATTTACTCATCTCAATTCCTGACCTTCTGGGCCTTGCATGCTATCTGCCAATTTAAAAAAATATATACAAAGCTCTCTGTTAGGAAAGGAAGGAAGGAAGGGGAAGGGAATGAGCATTTACATAATGCCTTCTGTGTGCCAGGCACAGTGCTAAGCTGTTTACAAATACCTTATTTGATCTTCACAACCACCCTGGGAAGGTAGGTGCTATCCCATTTTACAGTTGAAGAAACTGAGGTTAATTGACTTGCCCAGAGTCACATAGATAATAAATATCTGAGGCCTGATTTGAACTCAGATCTTCTTGAGTGTCACAAAATAAAATAAAATATGCTGGTTCCCTGAAGGGATTAAAATGTTAAAGAAATGGATTTTTTGTTGTGCTGGTAGAAAAGTCCAAAGGAAAGACTGGTGTCAAAGGGAAATCTCATTTACAGTGTATCAATTGAATTGTTTTTAGAGTGAGGGGCATCTTAGCAAGAATGTAATTTCAGTTCATGACTGTCTGGGCGTTACATATTCTTTGTCTCTGCTTTACCCATCTTATTAATGGAGGAAATGATGCCTGTATTGGTGGACTTGATCAAGGGAGTGAACATTTTGATTAGCCTTCCTCGTGCCTGGTTCCACTGCCCAACCTTTTAATGCTGTTAGCAAGCTCCACCTGCAGTTGGGACCTATGAGCACATTTAACTGTGACTCCTGCTTCAAAGGCCTTGAAAGGGGAGGGTGTTTAGGGCAAAAGTGGCCAAAAAAAAAATAAAAAATTAAGACTGGCGTATAGAATGATGATGCCATCATTGGGACTCACTCATGGTGGGCAACCAGTCAACTATCCTAAAGCGTTTGGGGCCATCTGCTGGATTCAAAGGAAAACTGCAAGGCAAAGGGAACTCCTCTACTTATTTCAGAGATGATCAGGCTTTTTGCTTCTACTTGGCTACATTTTAACCAACTAGTTGAACACAGGGAGTTCAGGTTCAGTGTTGTTGCTCAGAGCATAAAGTAACACTTTGCCTAAGCAAGGTTGGTAGGAGCTCACTGAGACAATACTGCTTAGAATTTCTAAGGGACGGCCTCCATAAGGTTGTGCGATAGAGCGCAAGACCTAGAAGCGGGGTGACTTGAGTTCAAATCTTGCCTCAGACACTAGTCATGTCACTTAACCTGTCTGCCTCAGTTTTCTTAATTGTAAAATAGGGATGTTGTAAAGATCAAATGAAGTATTTTTTAAAGCATTAAGCACAGTGCCAGGCACATAGTAGGCACTTAATAAATGTTCCTGTTCCTACCTCCAAAAGTATAGAAAGAGATATTCTAACTTTAGGGAGGCAGCATGGTATGGTAGGACTCAGAGGACCTGAGTTCAGATCCCACTACCTGTATGAACAATCATTTAACCCTTCTACCTTAGTTTCTTCATCTGTAAAATGACAAGGGTGGACTAGAAGGAAATTTATAATCGTCTTAAGAAATAGAGATAACATTCCACTACTAGCTCTGTATCCCAAAGAGATTTTTAAAGGGGAAAGGACCTATTTATACAAAAATATTTGTAGCGGCTCTTTTTGTGGTGGCAAAGAATTGGACATTGAGGTGATGCCCACCCACTGGGGACTAGTCGGCTGAACAAATTATGGTATATAATTATGATGGAATACTATTGTGCTGGAAGAAATGACGAGCAGGATGATCTCAGAAAAACCTGGGAAGACTCACATGAACTGATGCAAAGTGAAGTGAGCAGAACCGGGAGAACATTGTACACAGTAACAGCAGTATTGTACAATGATCAACTGTGAATAACTTAGCTCTTCTCAGCGATACAGTGATCTAAGACAATTCCAAAGGACTCATGATGAAAAATCCTATCTACCTCCAGAGAAAGAACTGATAGAGTCTGAATGCAGAGTGAAGTGTACTATTTTTCACTATTTTTTTTCTTTTTTGGGCTGTGTCTTCTCTCACAGCATGACTAATATGGAAATATGTCTTGCATGATCACACAGATGTAACATGCCAAATTGCTTACTGCCTCAGGTCTGGGGGAGGGAGAAGACGGAAGGAGAGAATTTGGAACTCGATTTCTTAAATGGGGCAGCTAGGTAGCACAGTGGATAGAGCACTGGCACTGGAGTTAGGAGGACCTGAGTTCAAATCTAGCCTCAGACACACCACACTCACTAGATGTGTGACTCTGGGCAAGTTACTTAACCCCAATTGCCTCACCAAAAGAAAAAAAAAATTAAATGAATATTTAAAATTGTCCTTATATGTAATTAAGAAAAAATAAAATATTACTTTAAAAAGGAATAAAGGTAATTCATATTTGCATAGTGTTTGCAAAGAATTCTATATACATTAACATTTAAGCCTTAGGACTACTCTGTGAGGTAAGTGATACAGATATTATTGTTTCCATATTACTTACGAGTTTCAAAGAGGTTATGTGACTTGCCCAGGGTCACACAGCTAATAAGTATCTGAGATGGGGGCAGGAGTGTGCTGGTAAGTGTTTAACAACCATCTCTCTGGTTGGGGGGATGGAAAAATATATGCCTGACATTTAGGTTTAATCTTCATCATTAACACTTTAAAAAAAATATGTCAGGTCTAAAACTGCAAGAACAGTATTTCTAAAAATTGTTTCAATAAGCCCAAAGGAAGGATTTTTCAAAGATTACCCATAGTTGTGGGGGGGGGCATCATTAACATCTAGAATTTTGATACATGGATGTATCATGGTATATATACATGGTGTACATCCATGTATATATTAGCTTCCTTTGCTGATACACAAGCTGAGTGTATGAAAAGGCCAATGCATTAACTCATCCCTTCCACTAATGGAGGTATGTTCCCAAATCTCTCTCACACATTCAGTCTCCTAAAAGACCCTTGCTCAGATAATCCACCATCATTCTTCTAGATCAGCTTGGCCAGAGCCGCCCCTAGGAACTAGTGCCTAAGATCAGATATTTTTTAAATGTGGAAAGCTCTTCCACTTCATCTCTGATTCCTGACGTTCTGTCTATAGGAAGCCTTCCTCAGCCCCTCTTAATTCCAGTGCCTTCCCTCGGGTCAGTATGTGCTATTTAGCCGGTAAATAGCTTGTTTGTGTGTATTTGTCTGCTTGCTCTCTCCCCCATTAGATTATGATCTTCTTGAGGGCAGGGGCTATCTTTTGCCTCATTTTGTATCTCCAGAGCTTAGCACAGTGCCTGGTATGTAGTAGGTGTTTAATAAATGTTTATTGATTATGTCACATCTCAACTGGTGAAGGAAAATGAGTTTAACCAATAAATATAGTCCTCTAAACAACAGTGGGATACTTTTAGATGTTTCTAAACAGGGATAGGCTCCCACTTATATCTTAGAGCAGAGGTTTTTAACCTGGGTTCAGGAACTTTTTTTTTAGTATCTTTTATTTCACTCATTGATTTCCTTTGTAATCCTATACATATTATTTTATGAGCTTAAAAACATGCTCCTGAGGAGTCCAAAGGTTCTACCATATTGCCAAAGGGGAACATGGCACAAAAAGCTTAAGATTTTAGTTTAACTTAATTAGCAGTTCAGAAGGAGGAAGGAAATGGAAAAATGGGGCAAGTCCCCCAGAAAATCAAGTGTTTGTACATATAATAACACATTTTCACCACCAAAGGATTTTTTTAAGCCACCGGAGGCACAGAGGGGTTAGAATCTGCGTGGGTGGAAAGGGTGCCCTCACCATTGAAACCTTGAATCTCTTAAAGTAATGACACCTATCAAACACAGCAAGAATAATAATACTAAAGAGTTCTGTAGCACACAAACCAATCTCTGCAACTTGTGGTACTGACTTTTGGAGAAACTTCAGGATGGCAGTGGGCTGGGACTACTCAGTTGGATTTAGCCTTGGGATTGTCTTCTCTTTTCCTACCAACTTCCTAGTGCAAGGCTCTGGTTAACAGAAAATCTTAGGCCTGTTCAGCTGTAGGTATCTCTGACATGTCTGGCCATATCACTGTTGCCTCAGCTGCTAAACAACCAGAGGGTACCTACTTACATGTTGTACATTTCATTAGATGGTGAGCTCCCTGAGGGCAGGGACTGGTTTTGCCTTCCAATTCCTATTGACTATTGTAGAGCACCTGTCACAGGGCTACACAATCACCTTTAAATGCCATTTGATAGTAGTAGAAATGAAATAGATAATAGTCTAATAATGGAGGCAAAAAGTACCTTTTTTGTGGAGCAATGAGGTGGCACAGAGGAATGAGTATTGGACTTAAAGTCAGGAAAACTTGAGTTTCAGTGTAACCTTAAAACCTCACTGGTTGTGTAACCCTATGTTAATCACTTAAGCTCTCTCACCCTGAATTTACTTATCTGTAAAAGGGGTCTCATAAGGTTGTTGTGAGAATCAAATGAAATAATATGTAAAGTGCTTTGCAAACCTTAAAGCACCATATAAATGAAATGCTGTATGTTAATATTCTTGATGAATTTTTTTTTAAAAGGCTCATGGCATATCACTCATAGTGAATTTCTTCCATATTTAATCTGTTTAAAAAAAAAAACCTTTGTAGCCTCATACCCAAAAAATGTAGATGGTAACATTTACCAACAAAGAAATGTTTGCAAAACACTTGGAGATTCTCAGAGAGTGTGAACATGACTTGTTAATTTTATAACTTTTTATTCCAGCACCCCCAGATTCAGAAGGAGTCACAATATATCAAGCATCTGTGCTGTGATGATGCAAGAGCTCTAAATCAGTGGGTCACTGGAATAAGAATTGCCAAGGTGAGAAAATCTTTGTGGATTGCCTGTATAGGTTATCCCCTTCCTTATGGACAACTTTTCTATATGGACTGGGGAGTAGTTGTTTTAAATCACCTTCAGAGTTAAAAGGATGAGCCAGTTACATACATTTCAGTCAAGAGAAGAGTATTTGACCACGAAGAGTGTACCTGCCTGACGAATTTAGCTGAAAGCACTGCATTGTGGGTTGTTTTTTCTTTCTCTGTAGTATGGAAAGACTCTCTATGACAACTATCAGAAAGCATTGTCAAGAGCCGGACTTGCCTCTCGGTGGTCTAGCCTGGGGACCGTGGACCCGGCCGCTGCAGCTCAGACCCCTTCCAAAGGTATCAAGAGCGTTCTTGTGGTGGGTGGTTGGCTGGACTCAATGACCTTTGCCTTTCCTTCCAGCCCAGCAAATAAGAGCTCCCAGCAGTCCCTGCATTTTTCAGGTCTTGTAAGATCTTAGCCAGTCTTAAGAATGTGGATCCTCCTGAGAGCACTTTCAAGGATATCCCTCAGCTTTATCTTTCCCTGTCTAGTAAGAATTAGTGCTACTACTCTTGGGTTCTTACTAGGACTGAAGCTTTTCCTAACTGGTGAGGTTTACTAGAAAGAATATTGGACCTGAGTCATGTGTTTGAACCCCAGCTCAGGCATTTATCAACCCAGTTGTTTAAAACTCTCAGCGTCCTAGGGGTGTGGTATCAAACTCAAATGGAAACAGAGGTCCTACACTGTACATAAGGATCCCTGCAGGCTGCACAGTGACTTAGCTTTAAAATATAATATTTTCTGTATTCTGTTTTATTTTTATTTATTTTGTTAAATATTTTAATATGATATCTACATCCTGTTGTATTTTTATTTATTTTGTTAAATACTTTCCAGTTACATTTTAATCTGTTTCAAGATGGGCCATAAGAGTATGGGCTAAGCATCTGGCATCTCTGCTCTAGGCAATTCTCTAAGACTTGTCCGTTGCAGAATAGTTGCTGAACCTTATTGGCTGAGGAAGTTTCCTCGTTGGGAAGACACTACCTACACCCTTAAAAAAAAAATTGACCTATTTCACCAGGTGGCTGTGGTGAAGTCACTCTGCAACTTTAGAGTGTAGATGAGGGTGAGCTTTTATTCTGTCTTTCTCCCAGTTCTCAAGCTGCTGAAATAGGTCAGGAGCCACATGCCACTCCTTGGCCAGTGTGCTCTTTTTCAGTGCCCTCAGCCTCTTCATTAGAATTGGGATCCCAGTCTCAACGATGTGCCCCTTTGTGGAAGTTGAGAGCAGACCCCCTTCCAAGGAACAGGATCACTACTACCCAGTCACACAGGCCGGCTACCAAGCCATCAAGTGAACATTGTGAAACGTATGCCATGTTTGAACACTGACATGTTCCATATATTCAGTTAGGGAAACTAGTATAACACACACACACACACACACACACACACACACACACACACATGAACCAAAGGAAAAAGACATAATTTAACAACTTGGGGGGGGTAATATTTATATCTGCTTTAAATTTTGCAAAGTACCTTACATATATTATCTCACGTGACCCTCAAAACAACGTTGTATGGTAAGTACTACTATTATCTCCCATTTTATAGATGAGGAAACTGACGCAGGGAGAGATTAAATGACTTGCCCAGCTAGTAAATGTCTGAGGCCAGATTTGAACTCAAGTCTTCCTGACCCCCAAGTCCCATACACTGTCCACTATTCCACCTAGCTGCCTGGACACATGAAAGTGAGAGAGTGATGGATGGACCATGATCATGGACCAAGCAGGAAGACATGGAATCTAGGGCATAAATAGAGGGATCACCTGTAGGGAATAGTAGGGATAGTTTTTTTCAGTGTTTCCCTACAAGGCTCAGTTCTGCAACTCTCACCAAATGGATTGAAGGGATATCTAAGATTCAGAATTTTTCCTCACTCTGGCTCAGCCATGGCTGAAAGGTCCACAAGATCCAAAATCCATTGATTTGGGGATGCCAAAAACCTCCCACCTTCTCTGGACCCTCATCTTGACCACAGACATTGAGTGGTCCTTTCCCAAAGCACTCCCGCCTCCTCTTGGGGCGAGCAGTTCCTGGTGAAGGGTGTTCTTCCTATGTTGCAATAGCCTTACAAGCCTGTAGCCCCTTGCCTTAGTCTTCTTAGCTGTTCCCCACAAACACCCTGGAAATCAAGGTAGGCTGGCATTCATACCCCTCTCCCACTACACGGGAGAGGAAATTAGGGGATCAGAAGCTCCCGCCCCTCCACACATTCTGTGCTTCAGGCAGACTGAATGAATAATTCTACTACCCCAAACAGACCTTCTGCTTGACAATTATTATTAATCCTATTAATAAAGTGCTACAGGGAGATGCTAAAAAGCAACTCAAATTTAAATATCTTTTCCAAGGGCAGAGTTACAAATTCCTCACACTGAGTAGCTGATGCTTGTCATTTTAAAATAGCGCCAAACTTCCCACCATACGCTGATCTGGCAGATAGAGCAGATACTGAACTAGTGCCTGACCACAGAGGGACTTCATTGGACAGGCTCGGTGAGAAGCAAGACACTGTTCAGGCAGGAAGACAAAAGTTTCCTGTTCTCTGTAGCTAGTGCATAGCATGCTACCATTGTGGTTACCAAGCCTTTGTTGTTCACCAACATGTAACAGTAGAATGTGTGCATGTTTACAAGAACATGCTCTAAAAGTTCAGCTTTTGTCACTTTTTCTCCAGTCAGCTTCCTCCATCCAAATCCAAAGCATAGTCCTCACAGGGCAGTCCCAAAGGGAGGGAGGAAGCTGGGTCACATCATCCTGTGTGTCTCCTCCTTTATAACAAAGAGGAAAAAAACTAACCTAAAACATTGCTACACACATGAAATCAGGTTCAAATGCATTTCATTAATAACCTCCAAGGGGAAAAGAGCCATAAGATATGCAGCCCTGGGGAGTGGAAGGAAACAGGGAGGGTAGGGCATCCTCTGCCTGTGTGCCATATTGTTATATGTCCCTTTTTGCTAAACATAATTTGTAGTTTATTCATCTGTGTACATTCTATCACTCTTGCTAGGAATTGAAGGCTGCTTGAGGCTGAAGTCTTTTTCATGAAGATAATAGTGCACAGTATAGAGGATGCCCTGGGTTCTGGGTGGCAATGCCGGCAGACAAATCGTAAGCTCTGGAAGGGTCTGCACAGCTAGCTACGGTGCGAAATGATTAGTCTGGAGAGGAAAGCAAAATGTTATGTGAGAGGGGAGATTTCATTATTGACCAGGGGAGGGAAGGAATCAAGACAAACTTCCTGGGGGAGGCGGCATTTGATTTGAGCTTTAAAAGATGCATGAGGCTTCAACAGGTGAGGACGACGAGGTAACTTCAGTCAGGGGAGCAGCATGAAGAAACACAAAGGTGGGGTGTGACAGGACGGGGAATAGTCTAGCTTGATTGATGCACAGAGTGCATGGAACGGAACAATATGAAATGTGATGGTGGCCGGCTTATGGAAGATCTTGAATGCCAGGTAAGGAAGAGCTTAATTGGTATGTGAGGGAATGACTGAAAGATTTTCAGCAAAGGAGTGAAATGATCAAATGTATACAGTTGTGGGAAGGATGGACTAGAGGGAAGCGGGATATATAAAGTGAGGAAGGAAGGAGCATAGGATAATGGCAATACCATGAATGGGGCCATAAATGGGGAGGACAGTGGAAGAGGAGGAGGATTTCAGGTTTATATATGTTGTATTTTAAATTCAAGAAGTCATTCAGATAGAAATATTTCATAGCCAGTTGGAAATATGGCTCTGGAGCTTAGAAGACTGGTTGGGGGTAGCTATATAGATTTGGGGGCAATCCCCCAAAAGGCATAGATTTAGAGTTGAACGGGACCTCAGAGGGACCTCCTCCCTCCATTTTATAGATGAGGAAAGTAAGGCTCAGCAAAGTTAAGTGAGTTGCTTAAGGTCACCAGAGCCACAGTATTACACACAGTATTATAGTGGTATTGTAAAGTCAACAGACATTTATGAAGTATCTGCTGTGTGCTAGGCATTATGCTAAGCACTACAGATACAAAAAAAAGGTGAAAAATCATCTTTGCTAATGGGAGAAACAGCCTGCAAATGGCTAGGTACAAGCAGGATATTTATATGGCAAACTCGAGATGATCTCAGAAGGCACTAAGATTGAGGACAACTGGGAAAGCCTCTTTTTGTAGAAGGTGGGACTTTGGCTGAGATTTAAAAGAAGCCAGGAGATGTAGATGAGAAGGGAGAAGATTCCAGGCATAGGGGACAGTCTGTGAAATTGCCCGGAGTCAAAGAGATAGAGCATCTTGTTCAAGAACAATAAGAAGGCCAATGTCACTGGTAGATTAACTTAATACTGCTGCAGTAGTCTCGTTGCAACATGATGAGGACCTGAACCAGGGCAGTGACTATGGCAGAGGGGAGAAGTGGGGTGATTTTGTGAAAGGCTGCAAGGAAGTGTTAAGTAGGATGAGGACTGAAAAAAGATGATTAGATTTAGCAGTTAAGAGATCACTGATAACTGGACAGAGCAATTTCAACTGAATGATGAGCTCTGAAATCAGATAAGAGGGTTAAGAAGATAGTGGAAAGAAAGAACATGGAGGCATTTAGTGTAGATGGCCTTTTCATGGCTAAACCATGAGGAGAGATGGAATGATAACTAGCAAGAATGGATAGATGACGTGTCAGTTTTTTGAGGATGCAGGAGGCGTGGGTGTGTTTATAGGTAGTAGGGAAGAAGCCACTAGCCAGGGAGAGATTGAAGATTGAGATCATGCCATGCAAGAAACTGAGGGTGTTTAGTCTGGAGAAGAGAAGACTTTGATGGGGAATGGAGTAGAAAGGGACATTGGTCTTCTAATACTCCAAGGGTTCTTTTCTGTAATAGGGAGAGGACTTGTCCTATTTTGCTTCAGACAGCAGAACTGGGAGCCGAAAAGAAGATTTTAGCTCAGTGTAAGAAAAAATTTCTGAACATTGAAAACTATCCAGAAGTAGAATGAGTTGTTTTGGGAAGCACTGATTTACCACTCAAGGTCTTCACTTGAAGGCTGAATGGCTTCTTGTTGGGTTTGTTATGGAGGGAATTTTTGTTTATGGTATAAGCTGAACTACTTGGCCTCAAAAATCCCTTCCAACTCATATTCTATAATTTTGTCATCTCTGCCCTCCCAACAAAGGAGAAAAGGAAGACAATGTCTTTTTATTAAAAGAGTGTTAAAAGAAAAAAATATCACTAATGATAATGTCCTCTGCAATTTAGGCTGAAGTTTTCTGAAAACAAATTTATTGAACTGAACATTAATCAATTTCTAAGCTAGTGGAGAGATATCCAAACTGACATAATTTTTCATCCCCTCAACATGATTCTACCCAAGATTTGAGGTAACATTTATAGGACTCTTGAACAAAATAAAAAGAAACAAAAGTTAAAATACGGCTTGGAGTTAACATTCTAGAAATAGTCCCCACTCAGTTCTTTCCTGACCACTAGACCTGCTATTAGCCCAGCCTTCACAGCCATCATCCTGAGGAGCAACTCCTTTGAAGAAGGGACCAGACATCCTGACCATTTGCCATCCAACTGCCACACCTTGGGCAGTTAAGCCAGCCCTAGCTAAAGCAGCAAGGCACCCTGAGGGAGAGATTGAAGGCAGCTTATGCCAGACAAGTCAAACCACGACCATCATCTTGACCACCATTTTCCTCAACCCTGATGGAGGCAGTCCAGAACCCTGAGCCCAAGAGCTTTGGAATAACTGGGATAAATGGTTTTAGAGTGGAGAAATACTGTATCTTCATATTCCTAGAGAAACTAAAAAGGAGGTTGTTTAAAAATATACTTCCACAAGAGAATAGTAAAGATAGCACCAATAGGATTTGCTTTCATAAACAGTGTTTACCCAGTAGTCGGCTTTGAATAGTCAGAGCAAGTGCCATATGTGATGAACGGTTAAGGAAGCAAGGAGCTAAGCAAGGATTCCTTGTGCAAGTTGAATGTACTCCAGTTATAGAATCTCACAGGTGGAAAGGACCTCAGCTGTGCAGTCTAATTTCTGTCCTGCAAAATAGCTCGCATTACATTATACCCAGTAAATCAGTCCTCTAGTCATTGCTGGCGGAACCTCACGGCCCACTCCGTACTGAAGCAGTCTCTTCCATATCTACACAGCTCTTACAGTTAGGAAGTTTTTCCTTAGCTCAAGTCTAATTTTGCTTCTTTACAGCTTTCAGCCCCTTCCTCCAGGTTCTGCTCACTACAGGCAAATAGAGCAAATCATTAAGCCCTCATGATGTCCCACTTAAAGTACTTAAGAATTGGCCATTTCTTTCACAAACCCATTACTTAGTATATTTAATAATTCAAGGACTGTGAGGTGTTGCTAGAAAAGAAAAAAAGTATAAAGAAAAGATTACCCAAGAAATTAGAAATTATGTCTTTAATAAATAGCTTCAGTACTTTGGAAGATAGTAGAAGAAATAATTAAATTATCAATTTGAAAACAAAAGAGCATAGAGTACTGGGTAGTTACTAAATAAATCTCAGATCAATCTCATTTCACATGGTGATCTCCATGAAACCACTGAATTAAATCAGTAGCTGAGTTCTCTGAATAGAGTGAAACCTGAAGTAAATTCTCAATTAAAGTGAAATTTTAGGAGAATAAGGCAAGTAATAAAATAAGTTCCTGTCAGAGCTTTTTTCTCACAGTAACTTATAGGGAATCTCAAGGGTCAGTGTGAATTTCCTATGATCTCTATATCTAATTCTGTGATACAACAAAAAATGGTTTTTTGAAATGACTCTTCAGTATCTTCAGTGATCAAAAATATTTAATTATATTCATTTTAACATTTATTAAGGCACAAAACTAAACTAATATATTTTAGATCTTTATTAACAAGGTTGTAATAGAAAAGGTTTTCAGGTTGACACTGTTAACAGGGTAGTTCAAACTTAATCTAAACACATTATTCTCCAGGTATTACAGTTAATTAATGTTTTACTTAAAAAATAGTCAATTCAAAAATTTTTTGTTGTGCTTCTTACAAAATACTGTTACAGCCACAAATTTTTCAAGCAGACCTTCAGTTTGCATATTATTATCTATGAATCTTAAGTTCCTACACATGAACTATTTAATTTTCAGGTTATTTATATATCCTCTAGCATCGAGAAAATACATTCATTTTCCTCCTTTTTATCTTTCTTTCCCTTTTTTAGGGCATACAGTAAGCACTGTACAACCTAATGGACAGATTTCCCAGCCTACACACTCAGTTAGTAGAATTTTCCAAGAGGCTCAGAGTCATGTTGAAGCCACAAAGGTAGGAGTTACTCCATGTAAATGAAACCAGTATTTAGATTCTTAAGTATTTTCTTAATCTGTACACGTACTCTACTAAGAAAACAGAAAATTAATTTCTCCCAACAAAAAGGCTGCTTTATTGACCATTTCAGAGCTTAAACATATGTAGAGTACCTGGTTAAAAGCTTTGTTCATTCATATGTGGGATACAGTGTGGAGATATCAGTCATGCTTCACAGTAAGTAAACAAGGCTCTCAGCAAAGTCTTCTACACTATGTGCCGGAGAGAAATCAGACCAAACTTTTATTATAAGCTGTGGGGCTAATTGTGGAGACCTGTTACCCCATTACTCTACATTTCAGAAATTGTCACACCTATTTGATGTTGACGTTATCCTTATCCTGGAGGTGGCGTATGGTATATATGCATATGCTCAGTTTTTCAAATTGCTTAGTGTTCATTTTCTCAGATTAATGGAATTATAATTAGTTCATTTTGAGAACATTTTAGAAGTATTTCATATATACTGAGATTACTGTGCAGACACCCAAGGGTAACGTAAAACCTAAGGCTGTGTTACTACTATATGACTGTATTTAAATATTTGTTGGGAAATATCTGTGGTGTCAAAACAAAATGTGACAGCAATTTTTTAAATAAGATAAACCCTGTGCTCGATACTAATGAAAGTACAAATAAGGGTTCATTCTCCTATCAGGCAGTTTTGCAGATGAAAATGTCTGTTTTGTGGCCATTGAAACTATGATCCCACCCCTAACTCTGGCTTACATATGAAGCAAATTGATGGCCCTGTTCAGAATGAGGCACCGGTGAGTGAATGTGGATGGTTCTACGAACCTATCACTATTATCTAAAAACAAACAAACAGAAAAAAAAAACAGTTAAAGGAGTATGTCCTACAAACAGTGGGTTAGTGATATCCTCTTAGAATAACTGTGTTCTTCCAGGAAAAAGCAGGAAAATTTAAGTCTGAGTTTGAAAAGACCTCAGAAGCCATCTAATTCAACCCATACTTGGAATGTCCCAGTACTTATTTCGGCATCAAAATGAACTAACATATTTTAAAAGATCTTAAGAAATATGAGTTAAAACAAAGATTTTAGTTTGATTTTGTTAAAAAGGGCATTCAGACTTAATCTGAACACATAATTATCCAACATCCCAGTTAATCAGTACTTGTTCAGAATTCAAAAATGCAACCGTGTGTTTTTGACCAAAAGTGCTCAGTGAAGTCCCTTTACTGTCATTTTCCAAATAATGAGTGAACATCTGAAAAACAAACCATAGAATAGGGTAATGGAGTGCTTATGACACAAAATTAACAACCATTTTGAAATTTTGGCACATTATTCATTTTCTTTCAAAATGTCAGACTGAACTGCGTATTTAGTTGTATACCATATTCAAGCAAAGTTATTTCTGAAGTTATCAAGGTAAACTTCCATTCAAGTTGAAACAGACACTGGTATGTTTTGTCAGCTAGGTAGATCTAATATAAGGTGTACTACTTACTATACACCTTGTAGAGACTGAAGATTCGCTTTCTGGCTCAAATACAAGCAAGGAACCTTTGAGGAGTCATAAGAAATCAATGAACCTGAGCTATGAGCTTTGGAGGAAAAAACTGAATCTGTTTTTTAATCCTTTGGGATTTTTACTTCTTTTGTTCTGAATAAATCAAGCTAATCAGTTAATCAAGTATATGTTTAAGCACCTCTGGCATACCTAGCACTGCATTTTATTATCCTCATTTTATAGATTCCGAAATTGAGGTAGACAGTGGTTAAGTGACTTGCCCAGGATCACAAAGCTAGTAATAATCTGAAGTAGGGTTTAAATGCAGGTCTTCCTAACTCCAAGTCATACACTCTATCCACTGTACTACCCAGCGGCCTTTCTTTTAAACTAGCCTTTTCTGATAATTATATTTTCCATTTCATACTATATATTAATATTATATCCCAAGGTGATGGGGCATAAATACATTTCCAAATGTGTCCAGAAATAATAATATTCTCTATTAGTTTTGTCTTTGTAAATTAATGAACTCTGACTTAAATCTAGCTAACAATTGTAGCTGATAATTGTAAATTAGTTGCTGATGGGTTTTGTAACACATCATTTGTCTATAAGAGCTGCATTTAATACTTCCCTTCTCATAGTCAAGAATGTGTGATTTAAAAATAACTTTAAATAATTTTGACAGCAACAGACCCCATAGCTCTTACACCAGCTATACTATATAATATAACAGAACACTTCAATATTTTTTCACCTTTTCTCCCTTGTTCATCTGATTATGAACTGGGAGCCACCACAGAGGGTAAAAGCTTGGTTATTTATTGGGTCTCTTGCAATTTCTGAAGACTTTTGAAAATCTCTGGAGATTGTTTTTGTTTGATATCCTGGCTGTTCTTTCAAGTCTGTGTACTTTCTGTTATTATGACTTTAATGATTTCCATGGTGCCTATTGAAGAGAATCATTTAAATGCTTAAAGCAATAAAAGAATCTGAGAATAGAAATAGCTAAATAACTTGCAAACACCAGTTCCCAAGCTGCATATATTGGGGGGGGGGGGAGTTAATTAGCTTATCCATGCAAACTAAATAAATGAAAGAAAAAAAAATCCTAAGGTGTTTTTCTTGGAAAATTTGATAATTTGATATTCAGTGAGGAGAGTTTACATTACATGACGAAAGAAAAAAAACTACAATTCTATTTAAAAATAAAACTGCTCTGGAGGAAATCACATAGCTGAAAAGCTTGAGTAAAATTTTATGTAAATATCAGTCATTCTTCTACATTCCAATGCTTGCAGATAAAGGGGTGACCCTTACTGGACCTTTAGCCCCATTTGATCCCTTGGCTTTATAACGGTAATAATAATAATAATAATAATATCTTTTGCCTTTATCGCAGTTTTACTTTGTACACTTCTTTCTTTCATAGCTTTAGTTCAATTAATTCTTATCACAATTCTGTGTGCTTGATCCCCTCTTCATGTGGACATTGAAAGGGAGCGACCTCCCCAAGGCCACTCAAGAAGTAATAGTCTAAGAACTGAGCAAGGCCATCTCTGGATGTTAAATGAGAGAGTTGGACACGATGTTATCTAAAGCCTCTTCTAGGTATAAGATGATCTTAGGAAGCAAAGACTGCTTCTTCCAGTTCCTAGTGTAAACACTCTCGAAACAAACAGAGGTCCACTAAACCAGTTCACCAGTTAAAAGGCAATCTGACTACAGAAGTATTGAAGCTTCCTTACGAAGTCTACAGCCCTAGGAGACAAGCATTTTTAAACCTTAAGGTGCTATATAAATGTGAATTACTGTTACGATTCCCAGACTTGCTGGGAAGAGAAATTGGAAGTAGAGATAGAAGAAGCTAGGACACTCTAGGACAGAGGGGACAGGTTTGTTTGTTTTTTGCCAGAATTGTCCTTTCCCCTAAATTCTCATAAAAATTACTCAGAAAAGATTCTCCTTGCCATCTGCTAAGCTCTAACAAAAGTAGGACATTCATGCCAGGATGAGACAAATGGGATCTGGAAGGCTTCTTTGTCATCCTCATTTTAGCATCTATTAAGTGCCTATTATGTGTAGAGTGCTGTCAGATAAAATATATGTGAGTGACATTATGGGATTTATCATCTAGAAGGGGGGAAAAGACACAAGTTCATTAGAGGTGTGTAAAACAGAGTTCTAGAGGGCTATAGGGGAAAGGTCATTCATTCACTAGACACTAGGAAGTAGCATTTGAATTGCACTTTCAAGGATGACCAGGAATTCAGTAAGATTTATAGTGGGAGAATAGGTAGGGTCCTTGTCTCCTGCAGTGTTCCCCCATTTTACCAAGAGCTGTAGCTGCTAATGTCAGGGTGGTCAAACTGGTCATATACAATGGAAGTGGCTATGCTACCAGCTCAGTTTCTAGCAAAATAAATGTGGCTACTCTGGGACCCCTAGTGGTACAGGGGAATCCAGTATCCACTTAGGTTTAGCTTTAGCTTTGTTTTGCTTTAGGGACAGAATGTTGGTGAGCCAAAAGTTAGATAGAAGAATGAGAAAACAGCAATAGCTAAATTCTATGCCAGTGCAATCCAAGTGAGAGATAAATCCTTGGACTTGATTCCTGGAGTTCAGTGTTAACTGTACTCATTCCTTTAGTCAGTTGGCTCTATGTTAACCAAAAATAAACACCAGAATTACAACGTCATCTTAGCAAATTGTAAACAGCACAGTACCTGGCACATAGCCAGCAGTATATACTTATTTCCTTCCCCTGTGATGCCTTAACCTGTTATGCAGGTTAAATCTTAACATAAATTTTACATTTGCAAAACACCTTCCTTGGCACTAGCCTGTTAGATAAGTATGTACATGTTATAACTTCCATTTTGTTGATGTGAAAACTTAGGCCCAGAAGGGTTTTCACTAAGGTAAGGTGTATTGGGAAAGGACATTAGATTTGCAGTCAGAAGGCCCCGTTCGGATTCCAGCTCATTACCTTATCACGTGCCCCTTTGACCTCAAACAGACAAGTCACTCAAGTTCCCTGGGCTTCCTAATCTGGATAAAAGAAATGTCCGTCATGGTGACAAAGTTTTGGGGTGGGGTGAGGGAGACAAACCTCAATGTAATTTCATTGGCATTCCAAGAGTAAAGATGAATACAAAGTCAAAGTTAAATGACTTAACAAAGTTTTACGTGTACAAACTACTACCATTTGAAATACGCCTACATTATCTAGACTTGAAATGTTTTAATAAACTTATTCTTTCTGTGGGAACATGAATAATGTTGTCTTTTTAAAGGACAAGAAGCCAGCCATTAGTAGCTATGATGCACCAGCACCTCCAGCCAATAATCTGAAGAAATCCCACCTGCCACCACCACCACCACAGCGTCGGTCTTCTGATGTGAATTCCGTGTCTCTGATGTCCCCCAAACCCATTATGATACCCTCCAAACCATCTCCTCAAGATGATTTTCCTTTACCACCACCTATGGGAGAGGCTGAGCTCCCCCCACCGCCACCAGATTGTAACGAAGAACCTCCCAATTTTGTGCCTCCCCCACCTCCTACAGTTTCTAGTGCTGATGACTTTCCATTGCCACCACCTCCTCCACCTCCACCATTCCAATCCACAGAACCCAGTAAACCTCCCCCAGCCATCACTAAAAAGCCTCCAATGCCTCCTAAAAGGCTAGAGAATCCAGGACCAGCCCCTGGGGGTGCAAGTGGGGAACAAGATTTTATGTCTGATCTGATGAAAGCTCTGCAAAAGAAAAGAGGCAACCTATCCTGAACTTTTTGTTTGTTTCCTGGAAGACAAACATGACAAAATATTCTACCTAAATAAGTATACCTTTTTCTGATTGTGTATTTTAATTGTTGTATTCTTGAGACAATCAGTGATTGTCAATATATAAAATATTGACTTCAAAGCAGAAATGATATTTTCAGTCATTAACCTTTTAGAACTGATTTACTGACTTGTGACTAAACATACATCTTTTCTCATCTTTGCACTTCAACTGAACCATAATTATGTTATGTGTCTCTTTCATCTTATAATAAAAGAATTACATAAAATGTAACATGTTATATACAAGGTAGTAGGTGGAGGCGGATCTTAGCCCCGTATGAGAACTTTCTAAGAGAGCTTTCCAATAATGGAGTAAGCTGCCTTGTGACATACTGTATGTCTAGTAACTGAGGCCATACATATGGCCAAAGCCGGGGATGCTATAAAGGGACTACATTTATTGGGTGGGAAGGTAAACAGAATACCTTCAAGAGCCCTCCAAATCATAATAGTCTATAACTCTGTATTTAAAAGCTAAAAGGAAAATGTTTTCCCTTTGTGTTTCTCAGATCTAATAGATGAAAAGGCAGCACAGTGTACTGGGCATAAAGCTGATCTTGGAGTCACAGAATTTTAGAGTTGGTTGTCTTCGGTGTCCACACAGTCCATCTAATTCAACTAGCTGTATAGCCAAGAGCAAACCTCTTAACTTCCCAGAATCCCAGAAAACTCTAAAACTATAAATTACAGATAAATTGAGCCTGTCTTACTAGAGGGAGTTAATACACCATTGCAGACAACTTAGTCCAGACCAAAAAGTGGGGTGGGGAGAAGGAAAACTGAACACAAAATATTTTATAATATAATCTACCTTTTAAAATAATTTTAAAATAGTTATTAATTCTGGTTACATTTCTCAGTGTTATCACCAGCTCTTAACAATGCATTTCCCCATAGCATATACACCAGTTTCACAATATTCCTAGGAAAACAAAAGGAAAAGAAATTTAAAAGGCAGTTTATTCACTTTATTTTTAGTTGACTGCCTATTTCATTTTAGGATGCACTATGCGTGTCCTTGGTTTTTTCATGTATGAATAACACAAAAGAGATTTGAATTTGTAAATTAAGCATCACTAAAGTATTCTAACTCAAAATTTTTCAAACCTAAGAAAGATGATTATGCCTCCATTTTGGTATATGAAAAATGAAGCTTAGAAGATAAGCTTAATTTCATTTTACTTACAAAGAAAACATATAGGACCTAAGTAGTTTTTTTTGTAATATGAATGAAAGATTTTCAGGCTTGTCAGTTTTAAACCTAGATATTAATTTAAATGTTATCAGTTTGTCTTTATAAAATGCAGTTGAGGGAAATATGATTACATTTCAATATTTTTATTAGATTATAATTTATGAGGTCTTATTGGTTATTTTATGAACATGTGTTAGCACAAGGACAAAGAATAACTAATATATATACAAAATTCCTCTTTAAATACTGTAAGAAATTATCAGTTATCAACATCTGATTCTGGGAGGACCACAGACATCCAAGCTAATTAAAATGTGTGATTTCCCAGCAAATAGTGAAATAAATCTCAGGAAATCATTTTCCCTGATACTTGACCCAAATGCAGTGAAGAAGGGCAGGTACCCATGGCATCTCCCTTCTTTACCTGTTAGTCATAGACCCCGTAGGCTCAGGGATCCATTTCCTTGCAAGGCCCCAGAGGCAGCAGAGTTTAGTGGAAAGACTAGGACATTCAGAGTCAGAAGATCTAAGTTTAAATTGTGGTTGTCCTACTTTTAGTACCTTTGTGAGCCTCAGTTTTGTCATCATAATTAGCAGGTCAAACTACATTATTCCTGAGGTCCTTTCTAGCATAAAATTATATCTTACTTTAACACATATGATAAATTGGATTAGTTCCTGGGCTGCCTTTGTGGTCTAGGTTTGTTTCCAAGCAAGTCTAAGAGCCCTGTCAATTCGCACTCCCTAAGATCACCTAGACCCTTATGGGACTGAGCCAGACTGGGCTTCTCAGATTAGCCTGAGGAAAGAGCACAAGTTGGTTCTTTTTTTTCCTGAATTCTTCTCAGATTTGTTGTTGTTGTTGTTCCTCGGGCATTAGACCAACTTTTTGTTGTTTTCTGATATAATTACTGAAAGTAAAAACTGTACAACTGAATGCCTCCAAGGTGGCGAATGAATCTCCACCCTCTTCTGTCAGCTCCCTCCCAGTTGGCTGTCACAACTCAGTGGTTCAGCCCCAACCCTCTTTACTGCAGATTCTCTGTTGTCCCTCTGTGACCTAAGGGGGAAAGAGATATATCCTTCTCATTAAATCTGGAGGCTAACTTTTATGTATAATTCTAAATTCCCAGACGGCTTGGAAATGAGACCTAAAATTCCCTCTAAAGGCCCTCTTTACTTACTTCCACATTCATGACTATTCTGAATCGAGACTGTTAACAACTCTACCACTGGATAAGTTTATAGATTACTATAAAAATGTAAATGCTATAAAATTTTTGTTTTTAGAGTTCTGTGAATAATTTTATATATGTACATAAATGTATGAATTTAAAAGGGCCCCAAAGCGGAACCTAATGTTGTCTTTTTGACTCTTAACCAAGAAAAAATATTTTTTCTATTAAAAAATATGCTTATCTAATTTCTGGACTCTGGTCTTTAAAATCTGTTTCTGAAACCTAAAGAAATTCAAAAAGAGGCAAAGCCTGCAAAACACTGCTCCATTTAATGTCATTTCACAATAATTACATTAGCAATACTTTACATAATACAAATTCTACCACAGCCATTGTTCAGCTATCAGTGAGGTCCACGGTGATCCTACTCATTAGCTATTTGTATCATAAAATGAAATGTTCTTTAAAATGTGACATCTAATGTAGGGTTTTGTAGAAGCAATTAGTAATGTGAGATGGGCTTTTTTTTTTTTTAGCAGAAAGGAGACACAGTGACAACTCAGGTGTACAAAGCTCTAAATAATAGTCCCACATGAGTAGTCCTAAAGGACTCAGAGGGCAAGGATATGTCTCATACTTTGTTTCAGCAAATGAGATAATACAGAGAGAGCACTGTTTTTGTCATTTTTTACTATTCTTTGCATTCCCCTATGAGGATTTAGCACAAGTGTCTAGAAAACCATGCTAATTGACTGAAGGAAGGATCATTTTTAAATTTCTTCATTATTAAAAGCAATTAAAAGTGATTTACCAAAAGGAAACTAGTCTTTCCAAATTATTGATTAAAACAGAGATCTGAACAATTTTCAGTAAGAAGAGTTCAGGATTAAGCTTTTTTAGCTAAATAAATGTTTATTTCTCATATGTAATAATTTATATTTCATTATTATAAAAATCTGATTCTTCAATATGCAATTTATTATTAACAATTTCTCAGATTATATTACATTAAAAGTCCAATGTTTAAAAAGTACTCCTAATTAAGACCAACTTTCATCAGGATGAACAGCTAACTTTGAGACCTTTTGCCCATAAAGGGGTAGGTGAAGAATATCCTGCTTTCTCTGCTGCTGACTGCTTCTGGAATGGACGCTGAAGAACTTGCTGTAAAAGATGAACCTAAAAAATGAGAACAAATAGAAGCTTCACTGGCAGAGGGAGGGAGAAGAAATTCCAACAAGATAGCTTCTCAAGCTTATTTAAAAGCCTTCTTTATATTATTCTATTACTACAGTTTAACCTAAGTGTAGGGGTAATATTTAATACCTAGCACAATGCTGCACACATTGTATCATTATAAAATTAAACCAGGCTTATTTTGTTTTAATAATACTAATAATAGCTAGCCAGTGCTTTATAATTATTAGCACATATGATCCTAAAAACCAGGAGGTAGCTGCTATTATGATTCCCATTTAACAGATGAGGAAACTGAGGCAAGCAGGGTCAAGTGACTTGCCCAGGGTCATATAGCTAGTGAGCCTCTTGAGGCTGGATTTGAACGTGGATCTTCCTGACTCTAGGCTCAGTGCTCACCTAACTTCCTCAAACCTAAAGTTTGCCACCATCCTCTTCTAGCTTATCATCTTGAATCTTTTTTATATAAGTGCCGTGTCAGAATGTATAAACTGCTAAGATTTAAAAGGTAATATACGATAGGGAGCCAAGATGGTGGAGGAAAGGTAGCGACTCACCCAAGCTCTCCCCAAAACCCTCTGAGTACCTGTAAATAATGCTATAAAACAATTCTTAGAGCAGCAGAACATAAAAAAGGACAGGGTGAAATAATTTTCCAGCCAAAGACAACCCAGAAGGTCAGCAGGAAAGGTCTATCGCACCTAGACCTGGGTGCGAGTGGAGCACAGTCCAGTGCAGGCCATGCCAGTACAGACTGGGCCCCTGCAAACCGGGACCGGCGTTGGAAGTCACTGGATCTGCAGTGGCAGCGGCTGCGGCTGCTTCTGGAGCTCTCAGCCCACAGATGGTAAAGGGGTCAAACAACTGATCAGAAAGTTTACAGGGGTCTCTTTGCTACTTTTTTTTTTAACTTTATTTTTCTTGAGGTTTTTTTTGGTCTGTGTTTTCTTTTACAACATAACTAATACGGAAATATGTTTTTCATGACTACACACGTATAACCTATTTCAAACTGCTTGCCTTCTCAAAAGGGGGACGGAGAGGGAGGAAGGGAGAGAATTTGGAATTCAAAGTTTTTAAAATGAATGTTAAAAACTGTTTTTATATGGAATTGGGGAAAAATAAAATACTAAAAAAAATTTAAAAATTAAAAAAAGGTAATATGTGTTCTAAAATCTCTATTGTTTATAATGAAGAAATGCAATGTGATGTAGTAGAGAGGTTGGCCTTGTATTCAGAAAGAATTGTATTCTAGTGCTAGAAGTTACTTCAGAGTCCTAGGCAAGTCTCTTAAAACAGTAAGTTACAGGCCTGTGATCCAGATTTTTTAAAAATGTCATCAATATTCCCTTGTTGAATATAAGCCAGACGTACTTAAAATATCGTAACCAGACTGTAACCACCTTGTTGGGACAGTGTATAGAGCACTGGACCTGAAGTCAAGAAGACTCATCTTCCGGAGCACAAATCCAGCCTCAGACACCGACTCAGTTCCTCATCTTTAAAATGAGCTAGAGAAGGACATGCGAACCGCTCCAGTATCTTTGCCAAGAAAGCCCCAAGGAAGATCACCACTGAACAACGACAGAAACATTTTTCAGTGTCAAGGCCAAATTTCAAAAGACAAACCACAAGACTAATAGTATGAAATTGAGTTTAGCTTGTTTAGAAAAGCCTACCAACACGAGCAAAAGTTTTTAAAATACGTGACACTTAAAATCATAAAATATGTAGAAAATACTCAGCAGTCTTACCTCTGAAAAATCATTCATTTCTGCTTTTTGCACAGCAGATTCTGCCATCCAATTCTTCAGCACATATCTAGGATTGACACCTAAATGAGATAAACAGCCTTAACTTACTTATGAGTTTACTAAGAAACTACATAGTATCATTGCTTCATCCCTAAAGTCTGAGGACCTTGTTAGTGTTTTCAAAGAAGGAAAAATTAATAGCAAATTCAAAGAAACCTTTCAAAAAGACTTAAATAATGAATATTTCATCATGTAAATAGTTCTATCAGAATAAACTATTAATAGTCATTATTTCAAAGCAAAAAAAGTCATCCACGTGGGGAGCTCCTCCCTGGTATGATGGACAAGGGCAGTACAGTCTCCAGGGTGGTACGTGGAGCACTGAAAGTTTGAGAGACTTGCCAACAGTCACAAACTAAGACAAGTCAGGCGCAGGACTTAATCACAGGTCTTCCTGACTCTTAGGCGTGCCCTCCATACACCATGTTGCCTGACCAAAGTTAAATTCTTAAGTTTTGCTTGGGGTGCCCCAATTTCAATGGACGCTCTCACCAGTGCTTCTCTTATCTTTAAAATTATCTGAATTGAGACTATGTAATAGTTTCTACCCTGAGAAAAAAGTACTTTTAGCATGCTGTAGCTAGTACACAAAAATAGCACTACTTACTTACCATCAATATGACATTTATTCTGAGTTGTTTTTCAATTATGGTGATAAATTTTTTGCAAAGAAAGCCACATTAATTCAATAAGCATAAGCACCCTTTTAACCATGACATCCAATTTGCATCATGGTTGGGAAGGCACAGGGCATAGGCCAAAAAAAAGAACAAAGCTAACAAGATGATTCAGTCCATGACCCTGGCTTATGCTGTAGTTAAGGAAATTCTTCCTTGTAAATTGAAACCCAATTTTTTCGTTCTTCAGGAACATCACGCCCTTTAATACTGCAATTCATGTTCCCTGATCCTTTCGAAAGCTGGGAGAAGCAATAAATTGGAGGACACCAAGCTAGTAGTGAAAGCAAGACAAAAAGCAAACTACAGCTTGCCTTCCCTTATCCCCCAACTGCTGCCTCTTCCTGCATTTGCCAAATTTACCCCCTCAAAAAAACTATGCCTAAAAACTTCCCAAGCTCTAATATTAAGAATTCTAAAAATAGGGATAAAAGGATTGCAGTTATCAATAAAGTCATGAGCTCCTTTAGCACAAGATAGCTTAAAACAGATTATTTGAACCATCATATTGAAAAGAATTCTGGAAATATCTTTTGAGAAACTAAATAGCAAAGGACAAAATGTGAAATTTCTTTCTGCAACATATCCAAAAAACACAATTTACATCTTTTTTTTTGGTGGTATTTCTAATTTCGATGACGTGCTTTGGAAGCTGTTAATAAAACAGCAACTGCAGAATTAGCAAGGGAATTTTAAAAATGCTCCCTCATGCCAAAAAGCAAGTTGGAACAGATTTTAATCTGCTTTTTCTATATGACTAATAGAAAATAAAACCTACAAAATCAGTATAGTGTGTGTATCTCAGCTGGTAGCGATCTAGCTCAAACCTAGGAAAAGTTTTGCCTATTATCAAGTGGTTTAAGGTAGTACAATGTGATAGTGGTCTGTCCTTTTGATAGATTCCAGTATTTCTATTTGCCCATAAACATTTTTACCCAAAAAAACCACATGGTGAAATATATTTAATCCTAATCAAACAGAATACCCTCCTATGAAGGACACTGTGAGAGATTTAACAGTTAAAATAAAAGACCCTTTTCTTATCATGGGAGCTTACACAGAGGCTTTTTAGATAAAACATAATGCACCAAAGCAATCTGTGAGGAGCATTCCAAGGACAACCAACTAATTGTGGTGCAAGATATACCAGGTAAGAGATCAAAGACATCCTATGGCCATTAGCCATCCTAGTGCAGTTTCCTGATGCCCTAAATGCAGCCTGCATAAAAATTAAACACTCCGTGATTCACCTTCCCTATTCTGATGTACCATAGATAGTCTTACTTTAAAAAGAAAAAAAAAAGCATTTGCCATATGAATATAGCCTGAATGATGAGAATTACATTTTTGAGTTTTTATGTTCATGGTCAACTTTGTTTTTATCATAAATGCATTTATTTTCTTGGCTAAACAATTTTGCTATTTTTTTTAAATTTTCTGGGAAATTACCTTTGTATCTTAAGTTTGTGATTCCCACCTAGGAATAGTTTGGAGATCTCTCACTTCTCTGGCTCATTGCCTTCTACCAAAGTAGAATTTGGTAAGTTCAATATCTGGCAATCCTCCATGAATAGCCAAGAGCTCCAAGAATTCCAAACATCCAACAGTCTTATTCAAAGTATAAAGTCTTAAATCAAATTACATCTAAATCCATAATCATCACCCCAACCTCAGTCATGTACCATGTAGAGATGGATGCATGCATACACACACACACACACACACACACACACACACACACACACACACACACACACACACACGCCTCTCAGAGGCAGCACGACCCAGTGTGGAAAGAGCTATCTCCAGAACAATGAGGACCCAGGTTCAAGTGCTGCCTCTGACACATATTGACCATGTGTCCCTGGGCAACTCCCTCCCCCTCTCAGTGCTTTAGGAAACTCTAAGCCTACAAATTGCAGAGAAGATGCCAGCCTGTCCTGACAGAGGAAGTGCCTCCTCAGAAGTTCCCTTTTGAGTGAGATCACAGGTCCAGCATTCTATTCAGGAAACCTAACCCTGTGGTCAGGCCCAACTAAGGGCATAGGCCAAGGTTTACTCCCTCGCCAGGTGCTTCCTACCTTGCTTCTCTTTTGCTATATTCTTTGTGGGATAGGTCCTGGGGAGTCTTCTCACCAAGGTCACTGTTCCTAGCTCTACTTACAGCTCGGTGCTGTTAGCTTTGCTAGAAGATGGTGCTAGTTACCTCCTCTTCCAAGAACCAGCTCAAGCAGCTGTACCATCAAGCCACACAGCTGTGATAGCAGAGTTGAGTCCCTCCACTTAACCCTTCTCCATTTCTATGTCTAGGTCTCACAACCCGATTCTCCAGAGAAAGGGCCTCTTCTTGATCCAATCAAATGAGGTTTTTTCCAATTCACACTGGCTTATGGTCACTTCAGAGCTGTTTAGCTCCTTCCTCCCTTAGTACCTATGTGGTTTACCTCCAACTTGAGCTGGTTTTTCCCACGGAGGTCTTTGCATTCAGAAAGGAATTCCTTCTCTCTTTCATTTATTTTTCCATCTCCAGTCTTCCTTAGAGGGGAAAGTCTGCTTTGTAAATTGCCCTGGGCTACTTCTCAACAACCTTCAAATAGGGAAGTCGGAAAAACTTGGAAGATCATCACAGTCACTTCTGTGCCTGCATGGGGAGAAGGGTAGTCCTACCTTGAAAGTGAAGACTAAAGTCCCAAAGAGAGATATATATTTTTTTGCTTAGTGTTTGAGAGTCACGGTGGTTGTAGCATATACAGAACAGGCCTCAGCATCAGAAAGACATAAATTTAATTCTTATGCCAGATATTTACTAGCTTTATGGCCATGGGAAAGTCACTTATCCTCTATAAGCCTCGGTCTTTTCCTCCGTAAAATGGAGATGATACCCGTAGCACCTAGCTCAAATGGTTTAATGTTTGTCAAGTGCTTTGCAAATTTTCCAAGTTATATGTAAATGCTAGTTATTATTAGCATAATTGTCAAGATAGCAGAAGCCTTGTCAAGTCAAGATAGCAATTGTCTTTTGTCAAGATAGCAGAAGCCCTGAAGATCTGGCCCTCTAAAACGCAAAAATCTAGGGAAGCTTAACCCCAACAGGTGGAAGTCAGTCCAAGAACCTAGATGACCTAAGCCAAACTACCCAAGGCTGACCATCCAGAAGCACAGCAAAGAACAATGCTTCGTCCTGAGACATTCAGGAACTACGGCTGAGAGACGAGTCAACCAAAGACATTAAGCAAACAACTATTAAAGCTTTAAATTGCTACTAAGTTATTAAAACTTAAAACAGCAGGAAAACTTTTAGGACATCCTGTATAAAAACCATTTTAGATCTATGGATCCCCCAAAAGGAGAGAGTGTTTATATAACAATATAATCAGTCTCAAGGGGAAAAGTGGATTTTCCACTAGGATGTCAATGAAGAAGAAATGAAGCAAGAGAATTTTAAAAGAGGGGGGAAAAAAGGCTCTGGAGAAAAGAACTGAAAAAGAAGAAAAATTATCAAGCTTACTCAATAAATGGACTCCCTAGAAACTGGAGGAGAACTAACAGAAATCAATAACTCCATGAGGCACCAAAGATTGAAAAAATAAAACAAGAAAATGTAAGATACCTGATATGAATACAACTGACATAGACAACAGATCAAGGAGACAAGATTTAAGAATCACTGGACTTCTTGAAAAGCATGATTTGAAAGACAACAACAAAAAAACAAAAGTCTGGGCACTATATTTAAAGAAATCATAAACTAAAATTGTCCAGATCTTCTTGAATCAGAGGGCACAGTGAAGACAGAAAGACTACACCAATCACCTCCCAAATGTCACTGAGAAATTCCTGAGCTCTCATTTCAAAGAAAAAAATACTGCAAGGATCCAGAAAGAAGCAGTTTGAGTACCAAGGAGTCATAGTCAAGATGACACAAGACCTGGAAGTTTCTACCATAAATGACAGAATATCTTGATTACGATATTCCAAAAGCATACCACATAGGCTTTCCCTTAGAATCATTTACCTATGGTCTATATTTTGTTACTGTTCTATACTCCTGAAAATGGAGAAGACCATGATATACAAAAGATATACAATCAAGATTATAACCAAAAGCTGAGTATAATTCCACCAGAAGGGGTGGAGAAGGGCCTGTAATGAAATAGAGAATTTTCAAAGATTTCTAATTAAAAGGCCAAAGCTGAGTAGAAACTTTGAGATGCAAACACAAAAGTCAAAAGAAACCTAGGAAGGTAAATTTATTTGAGTAAATGGAAGGGCATGTATGATGATCTTCAAGAGTAATGAAAAAAAAAACAGAGGTTCTGATGGTGGATTTGTTATTTTCTGAGAGTTCAAAAAGGGGGAAAGAAAAGGAATATAAAAGGAATACACTAATATAGAAAGGAGGAAGGAGGAGATGGAACTTCCTAGTTTTCATAACTGAAGTATATAAGAAGAATATACCAAAATGGAAGAAGAGGTAAGGAGTGTGGACATCAGCTAAATCTCACTTCTGAAACAGACAAAGGAAGGTTGAACATCACACACACACACACACACACACACACACACACACACACACACACACACAGAGTTTGGTGTTGAAATACTGATCAACCTGAACAGGGTAATATGGAGGGGCTACGAGAAATGATAATATTGGGGAGGGAATAGTGGCAAGCAAAACCAAACATCCTGATCCCAAAGAGGGGATGAAAAGGGTAAAAAAAATCTAAAAAGACCTAGAATCTAAGGGTATTCCTCTCAATTTGGGAATGGCTAAACAAACTGTGGTCTAGGGAAGTAATGGAATATCACTGGCTCATAAGAAATGACAAAAGAGACCATTTCAGAGCACTCTGGGTAGTATGAACCGATATAGAGTAAAGTGAGCAGGACCAGGAGAACAATTTATATGAGGTCTGTAACAACATTATAAAGAAAAATAGCTGGGCAGCTAGGTGGTGTAGTAGATACAGCTCTGACCCTGGAGTCAAGAGGACCTGAGTTCAAATCCGGCCTCAGACACTTACCAGCTGTGTGACCCTGGGCAAGCCATTTAACCTCGACTGTCTCACCAAAAAAAAAAGAAAAAGAAAAATAGCTTTGAAAAAGACTTAAAAACTGATCAATGCAATGACCAATCATATCTCCAGAGGATCTATGATAAAGTATGTTACCTACCTCCTAACAAAGGTAATGGACTCAACATGCAGAAAAAGACATAACACTTTTTGTGTATTTGTTTTGCTTGATATGAATATTTTTTCTTCAATTTTTAATTGGGTAGGTTTTGAGGCAATAACAGTAGTGATTCTAAAAAAGAGAGAAAAAAGAGCCATCGAAATATATTTTTTTAAATGCAGAGAAGAAAATAGAAGGAAGTTCAGAAGAAAGCACAGATAAGCAGGCCAGTTTTCAAGGTAATAAACACATGAAATATGTCACTTTTTTTAAGCAATCAGTATGCCATGGAGATTGATGGTTTCATATACAATCCTCTTGTCTTCTGCTTTGAAAATCTCTTTTTGGGGCCATTTTAAATTCAGAATAAAAAAAGAAAATTAAAAAAGAAGCAAACAGCACAACATTTGCATGTCATCATCAGTACTTTCTTCACAATCTCACAAGAATTCAAAAATCCATTTTCCATTTACAAGTGAGTAATGGGGTGCCATTTTTTATCATGACTGCTCCCAAAGTGAAATTGAATATTAAAGATACTGAATCAAGATTCCAACCCTGGAAGGTCAGATCCTTTCTTATTCCTGGAAGTGACAGACATGGTTAATAAGATAGTTCAGGATTTCTACAACCCAGGGTAAATACAGTGTTCCTAGCCCAATCCTAATTCATCTCTAATCCAGTAGACCATGGAAGGATTTAATGACTTTGGACCCAAACACAAAGATTTGTGGATCATGTATGACCTAACACCAGCTGCTTCAGCTAAAAACACTTATTCCTTCACAATTTTATGGGCCCCACAGCTGGGCCAGAATTTTGTCAGCCTCCAGAAATGAAAGAGTGGCATGCAACACAGGTTTTCCCTTAAGGATCATTTACCTATGGTCTACATTTTCTGTTACTGTTCTACATTCCTGAGAATGGGAAAGCCATGAAGTAGTTTGGTCCAGGCACCAATGACCTTGATCCATCTGACTTCCTCCTCTCAAACAATCCCTATAATTGGCACATCAGATTCTAAGAAGTATGTAGAATTTGAAATATTCCCAGTTTTTATTATGAAATGAACAAACATTCCAATCTAATGAATATAGTGCAGAATAAATTTTAATTAGTAAGTTAAAATCTTGACAGCCTTCAAATATTCAAATGACTGGAGGACCAAAACTAAATAATTTCAAAATAAAAACACTTAAGTCTCCTAGGAACCATATTAATATTTAATGAATATGAGCACCTAATTTTTAAAATAGTTACAACTTCCTCATCCATTCCCCCTTCAGCAGGGACACTGCTTTGGGAATAATTTATATATAAGAAATCACATATGAACTTTTAAAAGGAAGTATGCCTTGAAATAGCTTTAAAATTATGTGATGAAATAGAGACATGCCACATAATCCTTACTCCAACATTTATGTGTATGTATGTGTGTGTATATATATATATATACTTAAATTCATTCTAATATTCAGTTCCTTTATAACCATTTTCAGATTAAAAATTTTGTCACTTGAAAATATTTTTCAAAGCTCACTAAATATATCAATTGACTCACTTGTCATTCTTTTTCTTCTTCTGGAATCTGAGTCATTCATGTTACTAAATATAAATATATAAAAGTAAAAATTAATCATCAACTATGTCTATTTTATTTGCATAGATTACTTTTCATTTGTCAAAATGTTTTACTGATGTTTTATTTTTACACTATAGACATTTACAGATTACTCCCATTTTGTGAGGTCTCTTGTAATAAAATAAAGCAGCTAAGTCAAACTAATAATACAGTAACTTCATTGGAAAGTGAATGCAGAGCAGCTAGGGGGTGCAGTAGATACAGCAACAGCCCTGGAATCAGGAGGACCTGAGTGCAAATCTGCCCTCAGAAACTTGCTAGCTGTATGACCCTGGGCAAGTCACTTAACCCCAACTGCCTAAAAAAAAAAAACAAAAAGAAAAAAATTGTTGTCCTTTAAAAATCTATTTCCTCATTTCTTATAGCACAACAGTATTCCACCTCATTCATATTCATATACCATAGTTTATGCAGCCATTTGCTAATCGTATGCATCCCCTTATTTTCCACTTTTTTACCAATACAAAATAATTATTTTATAAAAATATTTAATAATAAATATTTTTATGCATATAGGAACTTTTCCTCTCTCTCTCTGACAGTGCAATAGATAGAGTTCTGGACATAGAATTAGAAAGATCTGAATTCAAATCTGGCCTCATACATTTACTAGCTGCATCAACCTGGGCAAATCATTCAACCTTGATTTGCCTATTTCCTCATCTGTAAAATGGGGATAATAATAGCACCTATCTCTCAGGGTTGTTGTGAGGATAAAATGAGGTAATATTTGTAAAAATCACTTAGCACGCTATCTGGCACACAGTAGGCACTACATAAATACTTACTCCTGTCCCCTTCCCCCTTTCTTTACTCTCTTTTGAGTATAGTCCTCGCAGAGGTGTAGCAGGGTAAAAAGGGCATGCATGCACTGGTTAGTAACTTCTTGTGTATAATTCCAAATTGCTTTCCAGAATGGTTGTACCAGTTCACAGGTGTACCAATCGTGCATCAATTTGCCTGATTTACCACAGTTTCTACAACATTTAACTTTTTTCTTCTTTGTTATCTTTACCTTGCTGAGGTACAATCTCAGAATAGGTTTAGTTTGCATTTCTCTAATTAGTAGTGATTAGAAGCATTTTTTCATATGGCTAGAGATAGCCTGGATTTCCTCTCTTGAGAACTTTCTGTTCATATCCTTAAATCATTTATCAATTAGGAAATGGCTTTTTTTCTTATAAGTTTGAATCAGTTCTCTACTTATCTTGGAAATGAGAACTTTTTCAGAGAAATTTGCTGCAAGATTTTTTTCTCCAGTCAATTATTTCCCTTTTAACCCTAGCTTTATTAGATTTCTGCAAGGAAAAAAATTAATTTTATGCAATTAAGGTTATCTTTTTTTTCTTCTGTGATCCTCTCTATTCCTTATTTGGTTATGAACTTTTCTCCTACCCATAGATCTAATAGATTAGTAATATTTCTCTGATTTATGATGTGACCTCTTATATCTGAGTCACATACATATTTGGAGCTTTAACTTAGTACACGATCTGAGATGTTGGCTTAAATCTAATTTCTCCCATACTGCTGTCCAATCTTCCCAGCAGTTTTTGTTAAACAGTAAATCCTTATCCCAGTAGACAGGGTCACTGTTTATCAACTACTTGTAAATTAGATACATTTTCTTCTGTATGTTGTGCATCTAATAAGTTACACTGATTAGTGTATTTTTAAATGATTACCAAATTGTTTTAATTTCCTCAAAACAATATATGGTGTGTGTATATATGTGTGTGTGTGTGTGTGTGTGTGTATATAAAAACAATACATATGATGTATATATACATATATCATATATATACATAAACAAGGGCTACAATTATGTGTAATGACAATAAACTAGAAGCCTTTTCAATAAATTCAAGGGTGCAATAAGGATCTCCACTGTCACTACTTCTATTTGACACCACTTCTATTTACTGGTTTTAGCAGTAAGACAATAAAAAAAATTAAAGAAATAATCAAAGGAAAAGAAGAAACAAAATGATCAGTTTTGTAGATAATATCATGGTCTACTTAAAGTACCTTAAAATTCAATAAAAAATTAATAGCTTCACAAGCTTGCAAAATATAAAATAAACCCACACAAAGCATTTCTAGGTAATATCAATTAAAAACCCTGCAGGAAGAGAGAGAGAAAATTTCAAGATACACACAAAAACTTTTAAAATATAACTGCAAACAACTGGTTACAGAAATAAAGACCTAAATAACTGTAAAAATGTTAATTGTTCAGGAGAAGGATGAGCCACTATAATAAAAAGGATAATACTATCTAAGTTAATTTACTTACTCAATCTCATACCAAACTGTCAAAGCATTACTTTATAAAACTAGAAAAAAATAACAAAAGTCATATGGAGGGGGGAAAAGGTAAAAAAAACTCAAGAGAAATAATAAAAAGAAATGGGAAGGAAGGGAGCCTAGCAGTACCAGATTTCAAATGTGCCTATCTTTCATATTAATGCCATATTTTCACTTTCCTAGATCCCAAATTTCAACATATTTTACCTATGAGACCAGAACAGGAAAAAGTTATGTCAAAAGACAAACCAAGTGAAATTTCTTCATGAGTAAAGCAATGGATAGATGAGATGGATAGATAGTGTCATGGAAATAACAAATATGAACTTAGACAGACTTTGAGAAATAGTGGAGGACAGAAGGGCCTGGTGTGCTACGGTCCATGGGATTACAAAGAGTTGCACACAACTAAACCACTGAACAACAACAAAACAATGTATCAATCTAATTCTTGTAGCCTAAAGCCCCCAGCCTAGAGTTAGTTCCAATCTGGCCTCAGACAAAAGCTGTATGATCCTGGACATGTCATGTAACTGCTGTATGCCTCAGTTTCCTCATCTGTGAAATAGGGATAATAATAGCACCTACCTTCCAGAGTTGTTGTGAGGCTCAAATGACAAAATAATTGTAAAGCACTTACCACAGCACCTGGCACATAGTAAATGCTATATAAATGTTAGCTATCATCATCAACTATATGCTGTTTGACAAAAGCCCAAGTGTTGTCAGTATTTCAAAAGAAGAGGTCACAAATTACAGTAACCCCCTCATTTATTCAGTGTCATCCAAAAGTAAGATATTCTGTATATTTTTTCAGGTAACTGACAGTTATATCCTATTAACTATTAAACCTCCTATTTGAATAATTTTAGATAAATCTTTCTAAAACATACTTAACATACTTCCCTACCTGATGTATGAAATGCATCAATATCTGTTCCAAAGCCCATTGAAATGGAGCTCTCTCCTAACTGGTGGAGATAAAGGTCTTGCCCTGATTAAGTGGCAGGGTGGAGTTGGTGACAGGCAAGTGCATTAGTTCTCCACCAGTCCCCCTTTGGGGACACTTCAAGCCACCTAAGTGAGAATTAGCTTCCAGTTTCGAGAGAGAAGACCAAAGAGGCCAACTTTACTTCAGGTTGCTGAAGGAAAAGACTCTGGGAAGACATGAGAAGAGTGAGCAGTCTTCATCAAGTCCCTTTCCCTAATTTGCTGCTCTAAAGACTCGGGGTGGGGTTTATCATTGGGTGAGGTCCAGGATCCTCTGTCTTGACTGAACTGAGTTATCTTGCTCTTAATAGGAGAGCTCCTTCACTCTATATTGTCTGGTATAAGTTCTTTTCTGTATACTTTCTCTGATTTCTGTTTTGCTATGATTTGGATAAATGGGTTTCTTTGCTATTCTCTACATGTGTTCACTGCGGAAGTGGTATTAGGTCAGAAAGGGGTCAAGGTTCGGATAGAAAGCTTGGGATTTCCCCTTTCCCCCAAAGTGACAAAGCAATCAAAAATCAGATGAAACCTGATCGTCTTCCCACCAACCTCCGGCTTCCCCTCCTGGCAGGAGAAGGGTTGGGGGAGAAGACGCTAGAAGAGTCTATTCTGCATCCTTCTCGAACACACACAATGACAGGCCCCACCCCTGGTGGGCCTCCCTACATTTGTGGGGCTCCCATGCCCCTCTACATCCCCTTACACAAAGATCATAACTTTGTCCTCATGGGTCTCCCTTCACCAGTGTACGTCACAACCCAATCCCTGTTTGACTTAGACGGAGCTCAAGATCATCTTCATTCCACAACTTGGCAGTAGGGAAAGACTTAAGTCTCACATTCTAACAAACATAAGTCTAGCCTTTTCCTACCAATTTAGTCACCGCCATGAAACATCAGTTTCTGTGTCTCTGTCATGAAGTTTGTAGGGCTATTTCTCCCTATAATAAAAATTTTTAGCTTGTCTGCTTTTCATAATTTTCCTGCCTTCTCCTTACTATCAAAACCATCTACCACTATCAGCGACCACTTCTACATGTACACCCCTGCCCACCACAGCTATCCCTACCAGAACTTTCATTTCCTCAGCCTCTAATTTTTGTGCCTCTAATTTGTTGTGCATTTGGAGACCAGATAATCAGTCTCTCAGAATTGTGTTTAAAATAAACGGAAACAATCCCTGAACTGAGTTTTAGGAGTTGGCCTATGCTGATAGTGTTAGTTTTAAAACATGGATTAGGGCATCTATTTGGACTGTGTAAATGCATTTTTTACTTATTTCCCAGTTCTCAGCTAGATTCTCAGATAAGTGAAATTGCTGAATAAGTGACCTCTAGATAAATGAAGGGTTACCATAGCAGTTCAAACAATGCAAAGCACTCAAGAGAACGGAAAAAGTTATACTGCTACAAGTATGTGTTATAATAATTTTCTGAGATGGATTACCTTACCTCTTTAGTCTCAAAAGGTACAGGGTCACCCAGTCAGAAAATAGTTCTTGCCTTGAAAGTGTTTTTAGTGCCCAAAATTCCTAAATGAAAATACATTTTCAAATGCTTATAATACTACTATTTAGTTTTCATATCATTTCATATTCCCTTCAAATTGCTAATTTATGTTTTTCTATGATACCGAATGCCCCCAGCACATTTTCACATGGTGTCCTACCAGCACCTCAAACAATGCATACACAAAATTTAGATCATAATTCACTCCCCCAAATTATTACTTTCCATTATCCAACTACCTTAAGCTCTTTGAGGGCAGAAACTATCTTTTACCTCTTTTTGTATCATCAGTGCTTAGCACCGTGCCAGCACTCAGGTGCTTCATCAGTGCTTACTGATGGATTGACTGACTGGTTCTATGATCCCAACTCAGGTGCTATCAATTCCATAAATTCTTCCCTGATTTTGCTTAGATGAACGTCACTTATCCCCCTGGTGACCTTGCCTAGGGCTTTGTGCCTCCCCACTGCATTTTCACTTTCTAGCTAGTATTATAGTTTCTTATATATGTGTCATTGCCCCTACTATGATTAAATTCAATGAGGGCCAGGCCTATGACATACTTTTCTTGGTATTATCTTCTGTATCTAGCATAGTACCTTACACAATTAATAGTTGTTATTATTAGATGCTAAGTACTAGAGTGTCCAGGTTATTTGAAAAGGATGCTATTTTGAAATGAATTAATACAGAAGGGAAGGAAGATCTCTTTTTGACCATATATCATTCTAAGATTAAATACAAGGAAATCCATTTCAGTGGCAGGCTCTGCTTTAAGAAACACAATATACAAAAATGTCAGCCTCCCAAGCAGATGACAAACATTTACTAAATGTCTATTATGTGCCAGGCAAGGTAGTAAGCACTGGGAAACAGACAAAAATGAAACGGCTCATGTACTCAAGGAACTTACTTTCTACCAGGGGAAACAATATGTAGATCTTTAAATAAATATAAGATACTGAGGGGGGAGTAAAAGAGGGAACTTGAACTCAGTAACCTGGAGGTGGCATTTGAGCTGCTAGCAGAGGTGAGGCAGGGGACAACCTGTGCAGATCACTTTAAATCAGCAATTTGTGTTTTCACACAAAGGAATGAAAATTTATAGAAAACAAAGAATGGACTCAAACTTCCTATTCATTAACAAATCTTTACATATAAATTCATTGAACTACTGATAGTCACAGACTTTTCTGGACTACTGAGCCTCTCAGTGCACTACAAAAAAAATTTGGATAGAATTTTTTTCTCTCAAGTCTAAACAAATTACAGATTTCAGGTAACTACCAGATTGTAAAATATAACTGAGATAAGGAAGACAAATATTACGAAATGTTTTTACTGCTATTTAAAATTCACAAGATTTCTTAACTATTCTTCCGTCATGGAAACAGATAGGAATGAACCGAAAATGAACATGGTTCTATAGCAAAGATGTTTTCTGATCCAGCTTCATTCCCCAGAAGTACCAAGACTTTAAAGAAAATCAGCATTATCTTTTTTCTTTTAAAAGTGTTAATCAAGTATTTTATAATCAAAGGTTTATTTATACAAATGCTATTGCTGATAGTAACTGTCAAGATAAATCTCAGAATATAAATTTTATGTAGTTTCTTAGCTTACTGAGTCTGAATAAATATTCCGGTGGTCTTGATGGTCCCAGCAACCTGTCCCTAATCTGTTCCTGGGTTTGCCTTCCTCCCAAGACTTGGAAATGCCACACCTTTTTTCAACAACACTAATGGTAAAGGGGAGAACCCTCTTTTAACCCTTCTTAGGTCCATGAGGATACCTCCATTTAAGGACTGGCTAGGCATTGGGAAGCAGTTAATTGTCACTACCTTTAGCATCCAGAAATCAGGTCAAGAAAAAGAATACTCCTGCCAATATTTGGGAATGAAAGTAAGTATGGTCATAAGATCCTATCTGTACGACTCCCAGCCCTTACCCTAGGAGTTAGAAGAGGCCAGTAAGGGAGTCTGTGACTTACTTTTCATCTGATGCCCTAACAGAAATTAAGAGTCTATGAAATATACTTGGGAAAGAAGAAACAAAGGAATCCACTAGTGAAAACCTGAAGGAAAGATTTTTTTAAAGTTTCCTAGTACACACAGTATCCCAGAATTTAGATTCATAGTAGGACTTCCTAAAGGCTGGGAGCAGATTGGGATCAAGAGTAGAGTATGTAGCCTATAATGTAAATTCCAGGCACAGAATATATCTAATCAGAGTAAGAAAAATAATTCATTTGAGGAGTAAAGGATTGAGAAATTTAGAAGAAAGAAGCTAAAGAGGTTTATGGTTAAATTTTTAAAACAGAGGGGTCTATAGGTGAGTGATGTTCCTAAAAGAATACAGAGGCAGACTTCGGGGTGGTTTTATCATCTAATCATTTCCCAATCCTCCATTTTCCCCTTCCGTTACCATTTCTTTTCTACTAATTTTCTCCTAAGACCCTGAATTCAAATCATGGTGGAGCGGATATCTGGGCAGAAAGATGACACTAACAATAACCAAAAAGGAGACATTGGTAGGTTTTAAATGGCTGGTCTACATTCTTGTAAACTTTATTTTACAAAAAATACAAGAATTTTCTCCCACTTATATAATATCAATTCAATGCACAGGTAGAACTGAAATCAAAAGACAATAAATATTCCTAAAATGGAATTATGAAAAGTGAAATATTACACATTAATACCTGAGGAATGTTGAAGTCCTTTAGCTGGGACTGAGTTATCTCACTGAGCTCCCGAAATGTCACTGTAAAGTCAGCTTTTGTCTCTTCCATGAGCTAACAAAAATAATTACATTTCTATCAATCTCTATCCACTTTTTTCTTCCATATCCATAGATCAAGCAATAATTCAAATATTTATCAATTCAAAACAACAAAACAAGACTTACATGTAGTAGAAATGCAACCAAATAATCATCACCCTCCTTTTCACCAACGAGACCCAATTTGGCTTTGAAAAGTTCTTTAAATCTGAAAGCAGAAATCGCAATAAGATTTTTAAAAACTTAATTTTTCAAGAACTATTTCAAATTATTTAAGAGAATTAAAAACCTATACTCAGAAATAACATACCTTGTGTAATACAGAATAGAATATCCCACAAGAATCTGAGTAGCACTGTGAAAACAAAATAATTAAACTATATTATATAATTATTCTTTAAAGAAAACCTCCCATTTCAAATTTAAACCAGTATCATACAGCAAAAATTTCTTTCCCCTTTGCCAGACTATAAATTGCTTGAGGACAAAAACTGTGTATTCTTTCATTTTTGTATTCTCATTGTTTACCACAATATATTGTATGTGCTGTAGTAGACACTTAATAAAGGTTTAATTTGATTGATGCAACCATTCCCAAAATTATGCTAATTTTGGTTTAGCAATATTGACAATGACTAAACTAGGTCTCCCCACTACTAAATAAACTCTAATCATTTCCTGTTACCTACAAAATCAAATATAAAACTGTTTGGCTTTCAACCTTTCCAATCTTCTCATATTTTACATCCCTTCAACCTATCTGACGATTCCATGACACTGGCCTTCTTGCTGTTCCTTGCATAAGACACTCCCATCTTCTGATGGTGCATCTTCACTGGCTGTCACCTATGCCTGAAATGCTCTCCCTCCACCTCGACTACTTAGATTCCTTCATGGCAGCTAAAATCCTTCCTTATGCAAGAAGCCTTTCCTGCGCCCCCTGCCCCATGTTACTGATTTCCCTCTGATTATACCTTCCATATACCTTATATGTATCCTGTAAACACACAGCTATTTACATGCTGTTTCTCTTATTAGAATGTGAACTCCTAAAGGGAAGGTGCTATTTTTGCCTTTCTTTGTATCCTCAATGCTTGGGATGGTTCCTGCTGGCAAATAAGAGGCTTGTTCACTGACTGAATGAATCTCATTATGTAAGCAACAGACTGAAAAATGATTTTTTGAAAAGCTTATTTCATGAATTTTGGATATTATAATAATAGCTAACATTTTATATGCTGGGGCAGCTGGATGGCACAGTAGATAGACTGCCAGGCCTGGAGTCAGGAAGACTCATCTTCCTGAGTTGAAATCTGGCCTCAGATACTTAACTAGCTGTGTGACCTTGGACTGGGCAAGTCACTTAACCCTGTTTGCCTCAGTTTCTCATCTGTAAAATAAGCTGGAGAAAGAAATGGCAAACCACTCCAGTATCTTTGCCAAGAAAACCCCAAATGGAATCACAAAGAGTCAGGACTGAAACAGCTGAACAATAACAGCATGTATGTAATCCCTAAAGGCTTGAGAGGCATTTAATGTCATATAAATTATGCTCCCATGAAATATTTACTTCAAAGAAGAAAAGCAAGATATACCACATCATTAGCACATAAGATGAATGTCGACTTTATTTTTTAATATCAATGTTCTAACAGAAGTTCATTTGGAATTTTTTCCTTTCTATATTTGAGTAGCTTATATAAAAGTTTATGTGGCAAAGAGATAGAGATAGGAATTGACCTTTGATTTCATTAGTATACCGGAACTCCCAGGTGAGGAAACTCCCTCAATCCAATGTAGGTCAACAACTTTTCTGCAACTCATATAGTCTTGAGAGTCATCAAGAGCACTGAGAAATTAAATAACTTGCTCAGGATCATTCAGCTACTATGTGTCAGAGACAGGACTTGAACCCGCATCTTCCTAGCTTTGAGGCCAACTCTATCCACTATGCCAAGAGCTCACCCAATATAACTAAAATTTACATCTCAGAAAAACATCACAAATACCATATCATTTCCCAAATTAACACCAAGGAATTAATGCTAAAAATACAAGGGTAATAAGCTAAGTCAATCTTTCACACAAACCAAATTCTATTTATTTCAAATTATACAGTAAGTCAATCAACAAATGTTTAAATACCTACTAAATGCCATGCTTTGTGCTAGGTACTGATGCAGCCAGGTGGCTATCACAGTACATAGAGAGCTGGGTCTGAAATCAGGAAGACCTGAGCTCAAATCCACACTCACTTATTAGCCTGGGTAAGTCACTTCCTCTGCCTCAGTTTCCTCACCTGTAAAATGAGGATATTAATAACACTTATGTTTCGCAGGATTGTTGTAAGGATCAAATGAGATACCAAAGTACATGGCACAGTGCCTTGCACAGGACAGCAGCTTTATAAATACTTATTCCCTTCCCCTCCAATGTAAAGAACAAAACAATCCATACTTTCAAGTAATTCATATAATTACTTACACATTCTCAAGATTTTATCTGAGTGCATTAAACTTAAGCATGCTTGCCCCAACTGGCTAGTTCATTCTTTTTTGTTTTTAATTAATTTTTTTTTAGGATAGGCAATGGGGTTAAGTCACTTGCCCAAGGTCACACAGCTAGTAAGTGCTATGTGTCTGAGGCCGATTTGAACTCACGTCCTGCTAAATCCAGGGCCAGTGCTCTATCCACTGTGACACCCAGCTGCCCCAGGCTAGTTCATTCTTAAAATGTACCCCAAGCATTACACTGCTCACAACTGGTTTGTATTCACCGAACTTTAGTAAAGGGTCCAGTAATAAATACCGGAAATAATTCATGGGACAAATTTTTATAGAGCACTGAATCCCTTTCACTTGTTAGTTTCTTTATTTTCTTCTTCCATCTACTCTTCTTGTTTTATTCTTCATGAAATATGAGAACTTGTAATAGATTCATAAGGCCAAGGAAGTTGGGAGATATAGCAGATAGTAAAAGAAAACAATATCCTTTTCCCCTGCATCTCCCTGCCCTCCCAACTTTACCTTCATCCACATTTCTTCTTTTCGACTTCTCTTTTCCTATTTGTCTCTTAAAGAGAGGTTTGTCATAGAAAGTCATTTAAAAGTTTCAAGAAATAGCTCCAAAGAGGAGGAACAAGACATGGGAATAGGTTTGGTGTTACTATTCTAAACCTCAAAGATTCAATCCAAGTAGTGGGAAGCTATGGAATATTTTCAAATAAATGTAATTACCATTGTTATAGTCAAGTACTTTACAAATTCAATTACAGGTAGGCTAAGAAAGACCCCATAGGAGACCTGCTTTAATGAACAGAATAGATTTTTGGCAGGTAAATAAGTCTTCTTGGATCTATTATGTTAAGTAGTTTAAATATTCCTATATATACCACTTATTTACATTATTACTCTGCTTACCAAATTATTGCTTTATACATTTCAGCCCCACTCATTTATGCATTCAAGGAGTCAATAACTTTTTACTATATAAAATTTTACAATATCTTGAGGAAATAAAAATATTTTATGATTTCTATTTCTCCCACATAGAAATAAAATTTCAATATTTAATTTAAAACTTTTTTTTGGTTGCCAGTGTATGTAATCTGTTGCAATGCTATGAAACTGTTATCAAAATACACTTTTCTTTTTAAAATTATTAAAAGAAATCTTATGACCTCTCCTTCCAAGCTTATGCTCATTACAGAAATTCTTATCTTTTTAATATAAAGATGTGGTTAAAGATACTCACAGTTGCTTTTGACTAGGATCCAATAAGGGGTTTAAAACCTGTAACAGCTTGTTCAGATTAAACATCCCAGCATTGGCCTGGTTTCCTATTTTATATCTCCTTTTGTCATCAGATGTATTTGGTACAAAATCTGTTTCAAACAAAACATTACAATTCTGCAATGAGGTCAATACAATAAATATCTGCTATCCACATTTCTGTTTATATGGTATGTTAATAAAAATCCTTCTCACACTATTTAATTCAGACTTAGTACAAACACAAGAATATGTATTTACCCTAGAATAACTTAAATTCTAATAGTTACGTCATTTTGGTTTTATAACTTTTCAGATCATCACAACTATTTTCCTGCTTTAGATAGAAAACAAAAACAGATGCCAAAGACAACTGTTTGAATTTTTTTTTAACTTTGATTTCATCAGCCTGGGTACTTTGTTTACCAATAAAAGTAAAATCTCTCCATGCCTTACTGTCTTGTGTAAATCCTGTACATGTTAAAATCTTGCCAATGCCCTATAAGCTTTCCTATTATTCTTTCAGCATATCTTTCGTATTCTCAAAAAATTTGTTTTATTCTCAGACACATGACACTTACTAGCTGTGTGACCCTGAGCAAGTCACTTACTCCCGACTGCCTCACCAGAAAAAAAAATAAATAAATAAATGAAAATTTGTTTTATTTATAAGATGATTTCTGGGGGAAAATGATCCAGACTGAACCCTTCCTTTTGAGAATGAAAAACAAACACATCCAATACAGAACTGAAAATGTCAATGTATGCAACATTCTATTCTAGCAATTCCCTGTCTCTCACCTGTAAGGAGAGAAAGATTTCATTACGAGTGCTCTAAGAATATAGTTTTATATTTACTCTGAATTTGGGTTGTTCTTAGTGACCACTTCACTGAAATCACTGGTGTTCTTGTGTCTATTGTTGTTTTGGTTCTGTTTATATCACTCTGCATCAATTCATACAAAAGCTTGTTTTATACAAATGGTTCCCTGAATTCCTCAGTCGTAATTTCCTTCTGTACAATAATATTCTATTACATTCATATACTATTTGTTCCAAGCATTCACCAATCAATGGGTGCACACTTTGTTTTGAGTTCTTTGCTACCAAAAGAGAATGCTGTTACTAATGTTTTGAAGTATATGCAAACTTCATTTCTGTCTTTGACTTCCTTTGGTCATATGTCCAGTAGTGAGTGGGAGGGTTCAGTCAAAGAATATGGAGTTTAGTCACCTTTCTTGTACAATTCAAAACTGATGCAAACAGAATGGCTGGATCATATCTCAGCTCTATCAACAATGCATCAGTGTGCCTGTCTTCCCATAGTCCTGCCAACATTGACTATTTTTGGTTTGTTTTTGTCACCTTTGCCAATTTACACAGTACAAATCTCAGAGTTGTTTTAATTCACATTTCTCTTTGTACTTGTTATTTGATCTATACATTGCAATTCTTTTTTTGAAATCCACTAGTCTATATCCTTTGACCACTTCCCTACTGGGAAATGGCTCTCAGTGTTATATATCTGTACCAATTCACTAAACATCTGGGATATCAGACTTTTATCAATATTTGATGCAAATAATTTGCCCCATTCTATAGTTTCTCTTCTTCTATGTTCATTGATTTTGTTAATACAAAAGCTTTTAATTATATATACTTGAAATTCTTTTGTTATCAAGTCACCAACTCAACAAGCTCTTATTAAGTGTGCTCCACTTACCTACTTTTCTGTTTTTTTTAAATAGTACCAAATAGCTTTGATGACTACTGCCTTACAACATAGTTTGAGGTCTGGTAATGCCATGAAATTTCATTCTTCTGCTTTCTGTGAGATTCTAACCCTTCAACTCTGTTCTGATTTTGGCTAGTTCTATTAAAAATCCCCTTGTAATTCCATTGCTACATAACACTGATTTAAATAAATAATGACACTATGTAATAAAATTGTCTTCAGTTCTTTTCCTTAAGTTCCAAATCAGGTTCCTACATTTGGTTCTTTCAATCATGTGCCTGGTTCCTGTACTTTTAATGGGTTAAATGAATGATTCTTTACTTTCAGTAAATTTTCAGTGACTCTTAGTTTTTATATGATTTCTCTTTTTTCTTTTTTAGTCACAAAATAATTATATGCAAATAAGCCAAGATACCCTAATGCTTTGCAGCTGAAATCTTCAACATGACCCTCTAGCTCCTTGGGTGCTCTTGAAAATCTTCATTACACTCATATTTCTCATAATTTCTAATAATAAAAGTCCTTTTTCTGCCTCTTTAAAACAACAAAAAGTACACATACATAACCAAGGCATCATTCTATATAATTCAAAAGGTAATTTGAGTCTTTATATTTAGTACAGTTAGTTTTCTGTCTAAAACTGCCCCAAAAATCTATCTAAAAGCTGTGCTTTTTCATATCCATATATATTAGCGGGTTTTGTTAAAATTCTTTTCCTACTTTTTTAAGTATCCAAATATCCTTCTGTAACAGCAACAATGTCTTACATCCTTTGATAATTGATATTTTCCTTCACACAAAAATACTTTTGCTGTTTCTCTAAGCACTAAAGTGCTCACTTTATCTTAAAGAGTATAAGCCAGTATAAATAGCTTATGCTTTATATGAAAGTTTGCTGGCTAACAGCTTTGATGTCTTGCTTTCTTTTTAGTGTCAATAGTTGTGACTATGTTGCAAATATGATAAAAGCTACCACATGGAAACTTATAAATCATTTTGCTTTAGAGTTGCTTTAGTTTGGAAATGTTACCTAATTTGTGGGTCAGCTGTTGTGCCATCTGTTAAACCAATAGTTTACTATGCAATAGCCTCTCTGGAAACATTTAAATGAAGCTTTTAAATTTACTTTGCTTTTTTCTCTTTTTTGTATTTTCTAGTTTAAGATGTAGCTTTTCCTAACTGTATAAAGATCTTTTCTATTTTAAAGTGACATTGCCTTTTTTAACCTCGTAGCATCATTATCAACTAGTATTTAGTTAACCATATACTGGGAACATGACAATCCATTGGGGATCATCATCTGTAGCTGGATGACTCGGTTAACGAGAATAATCCCAAGAATGCAATTCAGTCTACAGGTGGGCTAGTTAGGTTTTTGTAATTATATAACCAGAATTTTGCCAAAACTTCTGACAAACTACTTCTGATTCCTTTTCTTCAAATGAATAAGAATATTCTTTCTTCAAAACATTTAAAGATAGATTCAAAAAAAACAATATACAGAAATAATAATGAGAATAAACAGAAAGAAGAGTGAACAGAAATATAAAGCGGCTTCTCAACAAATCGTAGTCCTGGAAAAGGACATGAAATGGGGAGGTCTTTTATTCTATGAAAGTTCACCTTTATTTAACACAAATTGACGAAGCTCTATTCTCCAAGGAACAGACGGTTTTTAAATGAGGAACCTCAGACTATCAACAACCAAAACACTAGCAATGAGAGAAATGCAAAGAAAATAAACCCTGAGTTATCGCTCCACACCATGAAAATTGGCACAGATAACAAAAACAAATAGTCATTGCTGGGGAAAGTGAAGCACACTTTTATGATGTTGGTGGAGCTATGAACTAGTCCAACTACTCTGGAAAATTATTTAAAATTATGTAAGAAAAAGCACTAAACAATTCTTATCCTTTGCCCCGGAAATCATATTACTGGACAAATAGCCCCAAAGATAGAAAGGCTATATCTGTGTCCGTATTTATATCTACATCTCCATATATTCAGTTAACTCTAAAAAACCATATGTACACTAAGAACTGTTACTTCAATCTTTATTTAGCTTCTTTAAAATCCAGATTAACTCAATATAAGTAGTATATCTGTACACAGTGTGTATTACAATTTTTCAAAAACTATTTCCAAATTTTTTCAAAGAGAGGCAACTTGGCATAGTGGATAAAAAGCTGACCTGGGAGTTGGAGAGACCTGAGTTCAAGTCCTGCTTCTGAAAATTCCTCACTAGGTCAACCTGCACAAGTCAGTTACCCTTCAGTTCTAAGACCCTAAGTTGCAAGCAGCTCTAGATTTGGTTTGAAAGAGGGTGTTTCCTCACTGGGAGATTCCCTATATCAATGAAATCCCAAGACTGATACAAAAATATTTTTCCAAATATTTGTAGGTGCTATTATGATTAATAAAGCAAAAACTAATTTAAAAGCATTACAACAGCAGCCTTTGTCATGTAATTTCTCAATCAAAGGATGCTAACAGCAGCACTGCTAATGTTGGGGATCAGAGAAATTTTTTGGAGTTAAAATGGATACTCATATTTGAAACACTGACTTTTGTTTTTTTAAAGCAATATATTGTATAAATTTCTCTACTTTCAGTTCAGAACATCATACTTAGCCCCCTCCCCAGAATCCTAAAGAAATATTCCTATATGTGTTTTTAAAGCCTAGATATGGGTAGTAGTAGAAGATAAAAATAATTAGGGTACTAGTGTCAGCGAACATCAAAAACTATTTTGGTGGTTCTCGTGGTTTCTCATATAAAGCAATTTGGTTTATTTTAATTTAACTGGAATGATCACAAGATCATAGATCTTGAACTGGAAGAGAACTCAGAAGCTATCCATTCCAACTCATTCACTTTATAATTAAGAAAACTTAGACCTAGAGGGTTTAAGTCACTTGTCCAAGGTCACATAGGTAGTGAGTACCCAAAGTGAAATCTGAACCCAAGTCCTCTGATTCCAGAGCCAACGTTCTTTACATTATGCCACTGTTAAGCTCTATCACTGCTATCACTACTAGCTCTCATCTGTTAGTCAGTCATCAATTTAGGATGATAACTTTATATTAAAATGAAATACAGAAAACATACTTGGATCATAGGCCTCCATAAAACCAAAAGGACCATAATCTATTGTTATAGATAACAAACTGAAGTTGTCAGTATTGCAAACACCTAAAATTAGGAGAGAAATTCAGAATAATTATACAATTTATATATGTATATACAATTTATAGAACCCTATTAACTTATCAAGAATGGAGAGGCAAAGAAATTTATGAAAAAATATTAATTATGGAAATTGAATGAAATATTCATATGTAAACTTTTATCACTGGCCAAGTATAAACAGTTCAGTTAACTTTAGACAGTTAAAGAAAAAAAGTTTTAAAATTAATACTAATCTATATTTTGTGTACAATAGGATTTCAGTCCCCCCAAGAATGACAAGATCTACCCAAAGGAAACAGAATTCCAACTAAATTTTGTCTTTAGCATCACTATGGCCCCCTTAGACATCACCTCTATTTCTCATCTCTGCTCCCTAAGGCCCAGCATCGCGTTTACAGATAGTCAGCACTTAACAGAAGGCTACTGAACAGAACTAAATTCCTTCTTGATTAAAAAGGAACACCATTTAATTTGGAACAAGATAAAGAAAAGGAAGGTAGCTGGAAAAGGATTTATGAGGGGTAAATGAAAATATTCTGATACACAGAAGAAAGGAAATAACCTAATACTGAAGCAATATCACTAAGACACTTTCTATAACTAATGAATAAAATAAAATGCACAACCCAAATAATGTAATAAAATTTTAGAACTCCAAGCCACCTTAGAGATCATCAGCTTTACTTCTTCATTTTGCAGATGAGAAAACTGAAGCCTAGAGACATTAAAGTATTTGCCTGAGGTCACATAAAAGGGACTAGAACTCAGGGCTCCTCTCAGTCCGAAACTTTTTCACTATACCATCACACAGCAAATCACACACATATACAAAAATTCTAGTTTGTAAATTTGTACTCAAAATAGATAAATATCTAGTAATGAAAAGACTGAAATAATGAACCAAAAAGTGATCACCTGATATGCTATAGCAATAGCCTTCAATTATGATAAGATGCTTTCTTAGTTTTGTTTTGCCTATTACACTAATACTAAAATTAGTTTATGTTCCCATAAAGACTAGGTGGGGACTCAAAATTATTTGAAATGACAAGTGGCCATCCTGAGATTTAAAGATTGTTATGGGTAATACCTAATATTTTCTATCAGAGCATTGGTGTCAAGAAAGCAACTTGCTAGGGTGAAAATTAGAGGCTAACCAACAAAAGGAAATTTTCAGTGCCTCTCACAGAGGAACTGACAGCAGGCCTGGGACAGGAAGACCTCACCAGTTACTTTCTCACCCTGAAGAAGCCTTTACCATGAGGCCCACTCTCCTGACTGCCTAGCCTGGACCATCATTTCTTGAGGAGTCCCACCTTCAATCTGGACTTCCCCTCCTCCCTCTACTTTTCAGCTGTCCTTTCTGTATTATCTTCTTCCTTTAGAATGTAAGCTCCTTGTGGTGAAAAACAATCTTGCTTGTTTGTATTTGAATCCACAGTGCTCTTGGAAAGCACTTAATAAATGATCATTCTATATATCTTGGAGTTATCTTTGTTCCTTACCTCTCCTTCAAACCCCCATGTGCAATCAGTTTCCAAGTCTTAGTGACTTTACCTCCACCTCCTCTCATATCAGCCATTTTCCTTCTCTCCACTTCTGAGGCCACCACACCAGTTCAGGCTGTTACCACCTCTCTCCTGGATTATTGTAATAGCCTCTTCATTAGTGTCCCTGCCTCACGTTTCCCCCAACTCCAAACCATCCTCCACACAGCTGCGAAAGTGATCTTCCTAAGCAGAGTCTCACCATGTCGCTCCCCTGCTCAATTAACTCCATTGCTCCTCCATTACCTCAAGGGTCACATACAAACACCTTTGGCTTTTAAAACTTTTCATAACCACGCTCCAACCTACTTTTTTAGCCTTATTGTATATTACTTTTACTAACATACTCTGGGGTCCAGTGGAACTGGCCTCCATGTTGTAGCTCACTCATGACACTCTCATCTCCCATCCCCAAATCTTTCACATGCCTGGAATGCTCTACCTCCTCACTTCTGACTCTCAGAATCCCTAGATTCCTTCAAAGCTCACCTTAAGTGCCATCTCCTAACATGAGGCCTTTACTGATCCCCCTTTCTTATGACTGCTTCAATCAGAAATTACCTTATATTTATTTTGCATATACTATATCTGAACCTATAGAATATAAGCTCCTTGAAGGAAGAAACTGTACCATTTTTATCTTTGTATCCCTAGTGGCCAGTACATAGTAAGTACTTAACAATGTTTACTGATTGACTGATTCAGAGAAGAATGGCATCTTTCCAAATGCCATATGACAACATATTGTCCTTTATGATGTTACTATAAAAAGGATACAAAGTTTTCCAGTTGCAGATATAAATTTATATTAAAGCAGTCATTCTCTCATCTCTTGTGGCCAAGAACACACACTGGCAAAATAGTTGGCTCACATAAGGCTCTGTGTTATGGGACAGAACAGCATGACAAGTAGAAAAGTAAGCCAGAGTCACAAAACTTGGTTCTAGTCTTTGCTCTGATACACAACTTAAAAGTTCGCAGTCTTGAGCAAGTTTTCTGAATCTAAACTGCCTTAACTATAAAACAAAGGAGTTCGACCAGAAGATATCTAATATCCTTTTCCAAATTTAAAATTCTATATAAGCAACTGGTTCACGAAGGACTACTCTCCTCGTACTTGGCACCATTAACAAAAGACAACCCCCATAACAGACCAGTGAGAGCAGACCCCCACAGAACACTGTTCTGTCACCCTCAGATGTAACGTAAGCATTATTACTACCAGTATAGTTAGTTCTATATGATTCACAGTATTGAGAAAGAGATTGTGAAATCTATAAATAAGGCAGAATTTACTTTCCTACTCATTTAGAAAGTTTTGGCTTTTGAATTCCTACCCTTTAAAACAAAGATACACATTTTAAAATACACCATGTACTGCTTTTCCCTTCTTCTATACAATGTTCAGTTCAAAATATTTTTAATGAAAGAAAAATCTATAAAGGTAAAGAACAGTAAAGATTAGTAAATTAAAAGTCTTGAGTAACATATTAACAGAAAAATTTAAAAACACATGAATGACAATGAATTCCTTTAACAAATGGATTCCATTTTAGTATCTGAAAGATGCAATATAACTAGATAACTTACCATGAGCAAAACCCACAGACATCCATGAAGCAATAAGATGTGCTGTCCCAGATACTACATTAGAGAAAAAATCCTGAAATCAAATACAAAAATCTTTTTTGTATGTTCGGTAATATGTCCTATAATGGATTATATTAATGAGAAATTTTGTGAATACAGAGAAAATTCTGTGGAGAGACTTAAAGAACTGAATTATTCAACAAGAAGAAAATAAATAGTAGGGAAATAAAACAAAATAAAGAAATTATAATGATCATTTGTTGTTTATCTCTTTAACTCCAGCAAAAGGAAGTTTCCTATGAATGAAGAGTTAGAGAAGTATGGTTTGGTTTAATGGGAAGTTATAGAATCTCTGCAGCTGAGGTAATCTTGTAGTATAGGTCATCATCTTTCTGGCAGGTAGATTATGACATCTTTCAAAGTCCTTCCTAGTTCTAAGATTCTTCATACATGATCAAAAGGAAACATTTACTTCCAGGTCTATCACAGCATAATCAATCTTATGATCTAGTTCAACTCTGTTCATTTTACAAATGAGGAAAGTGAATCCCTTAAAGAATAAGCACCCTGCCCAAGATTACATATCTAATTAGCAGAAAACTCAAAATAAGAAGCTAAACCTCTTCTTTCCCTATCCTGAAAGTACAGTTCTTCTGCCTCCTGTTACCCCATAAAAACATACACAACATCCCGACTGCTATTCTTTATCACACAAAATTCTTTTGAGAAAAATTAAACACAATTTCTGTATGAATAGAGAGAGGGATCATCAACATATGTATTTGGGTATTTTTCAGAAAAATGCATGAATAGAATAATTCCTGTGTGAATAGAAAGCCCTGCACTATATCAACTTTGATAGAAAGGAATAAATGTCCAATATTCCAAACATCCAAAATCCACTCAAAATTACTTAATTGTAGATTAAGACTATGGGTTTTCTCTCCATTTCTGGATACTTGTTGGACTAAGACAACTTATCTGTCTACAAACCTCATACTAAAGACCAGAGAGCTATCTCTTATAGATCTCACAGAACTAGATAATATTTTGGTTCACTCAGTATATAAACTCTAAGGTGCCTCTAGGCAGGCAAAGGGAAAACATTTCCCTCCTGTCCTGAAAGCTTACCAAGTATCTGTTGGGATCCTTCATGTCTACTGATGGAAAATGTTCCTGTATGACAAAGTTTAATAATTTCCTAGGAAGAAAAAAAAACATTCAAGCAATTGCTCTGGGAAATAAGTATTAGATTACTTATACCTATATACTTTTTTAAAAATAGATTTCCAGGGGCAGCTAAGTGTCCCTGGACTCAGGAAAACCTGAGTTCAAATCCAACCTGTGTGACCCTGGGAAAGTCACTTAACCCCATTGCCTAGCAAAAAATGAATAAATAAATAAATAAATTTTCTATTTCCCCCTCTGCCATATCTTATAATAAAGTTTTTTTTAAATAAAAATGAGTGAAAAAATTCAATAAAATCAATTAATATATTTTAAAAGTTGACATTATATTCAATGCTGCACATCCATAGACACATACCCCCATCCTCCCCACATAAGAGCAGGGGGTGGTATTTTCTTATATTTTTTTGAAACCAAGTTTATTCTTCATAATTCTGAAATATTCATTTTTGATTGCTTTGTGGTTTGTTCCATTGTTGCTCTTTATAGTACCGTAGTCAGTCATTGTGTATGCTGTCTTCTTGGCTCTGCTTACATCACTATACATGTTTATATAAGTCTTTCCCATGCTTCTCTGTAGTCATCATATTTATTGTTTTTTACTACACTAAACATGCCAAAATTTTTTCAGCCATTCCCCAATTGATGGGAAACTGTTTCTAGTTCTTTGCTACCACCAAAAGTGTTGCTATAAATTTTTTGATGTAAATGGAACCTTTCTTTAAAACCACTTTCATCAATTACAGAATGCATTAGTAAAGCTTTAAAATGAAAGAAAAAATAAAATGTATCAGAACCTTTTACTCTTATACCAGTCAAAGGAGATACCTCTACCTTCCTAAAATGTAACCGAGATCCTAACAGTTCCTCTCAGATTTTGCCTTTCTAGGTCTTAAGACCTAGAAAGATACTGCCCATTGCCTGCCAAAAATATTGTGAAATGCTAACCCTAGCAAAGGCCCTCTTCAATATGGTTCCAACCTGCCTCTGCTCAATGAGAAGCACAGAGGTCAGCAGAATGACTAAGAACTGGGAGTCCAGAATTCTATACTGACAGTTTATCCTGGAAACAGAATTTAGCTTGTGTCTAGGTTAAAACAGAAAAGATAAAGGAACCTTCAGCTCCCTCCCATGCAAGCACTTAGCCTAACAATATACTAAATATAGGACAGGCTTTATTTAGCCTAATAGAAAACCACTGAACACATAAGACTGACACTCCAACCTACAAATGTTTAAAACAACTCTCCCTTCCTTTCTAGTGAGCTTCCATTTTCCACAGAACTATTCTACACTTGAAGACCCCATGTGTCCTCAAAGGGGAAAGCAATGAGGTTGGAAGCCTCTTGGACAGAGCCCGAACTGCAGGTAAAAGAGACTGGTGCTCGCCTGCCTCCAGAGGAAGCCTATGCTCCTCCAGGGAACCATATGGCCCCAACACAGGAGAGAAACACTGTCACAGAATAGTGTCTGAATGGGAAAAGGTTCTTGAGCCAACGTAGGAGCTGCAAGAATACAATCTAAAAGTAGCAGGGTCACAGTGGCGAAGCAATGGATGAATTCCTACACAAGAGAAGGAATTTGAAAACTAAATCTTCTGGACATTAAAGAGGAGTTCCTGGACAATGACAAGTTCCCGGATCAAGCAGAGGAGTTCCAGTTTGAAATAAGAGCCAGAGCCACCACTGGGTGAGGCAATTCCAGACCTCATCTTCTACTAATGCTGTGAGAAAAGCACAGGGGTACTGGGAAGAAGCCAACGCTGGGGATCCCCAGTCCTTTCCTCTAGAAAAGGAACCTAAACCAGAAGGTAATGCATGCTCTAGGTCTGGAAGACGAAACAAGTCTCTTGTGGAAGCAAAAGAGAGAAGGAACACTGCTTTGCCTGTTTAGGGGCTTCAGTGTTATACTTTTTTGTGTGTTTTGAGATGTCAGGTAAAGCAAAATAAAGCCAATCCTATACGTAGGGTATTAGCAGCCCAAGTGTTTGCACAAAAGCTGAAGACTCTTAACCGTTTGTGAAAAGACTCAAACATGAGCCAATTGCTGATATCCTTAGGAGACACTCAGCATGGGGGCAAATGAACTAAATTCTGTTATTCCCAGGGGAAACCCTGAGTGGGGGCTTTGGCCAAAGAGAAAGACATTAGAGTTACATTCCCAAGATTACACCTGGTCTGTGTACACCCAAAACTTCAGTTCTCTGTAACATGTCACAATAGAACGTAAGGCATTCAGGCCTACCTGGATTGCCTTATGTTCTCATAGTGCCTAGTACAGGGCTGGGTACAAAGCAATCATTCACTAAATACTTATTCAATGGATGCTTTTTTTCCCCTCACAAGAAAACAGAATATCTTTAACAGCATGTAAGAAAACATAAGTATGTCTTTGACCATATTATGAAGATAACTTATTGACCTGAGTAAATCCAGTTCACCATAATGAGCCAAAATTTCTAATGATCCAATGCGGAACCATGATTTTGCAATGCGTAGAACTACTGCACCTTAAATAGAAACATTTTAAAAATTAGAAAACTATTTTAAAATGTAGAACATGTGAACTTCTTTAAAATAAAATTATTTTTATAAGAAAATTTCAATGGTATAATGCATCTGAAAAATATTTGTTAGAAAAGTCAGGTCCTGGTTATTTATGGTAGAATTTTCTGACTGATGTGGCCCTTACTCAAGGAGATTTACAGGAAATTCAGATCTTGGGACACCTGCAACCTGCTAGAGACTATCACCTCTAAGAATACTAAAGCAACGAAATGGCCATCCTGCAGGGCAATGCTCCAAAAAGTGGGATACCCACTTCCCCTGACATTTCTCACTACTCTGCAAATCTTAAAGTACTACATAAACATTACCTATTATCTAATAAGGGAACGCAGCAGCCTATTCACTGTTTTTTATTATTCCCCATTACCATTGCCTTGGCATTCATTCATGTGGATTTGAGATAACTGATTTTATCAGAAAACAATATAGTAAAATAAAAAATACAATAATTTTGCTCTGGCAAAAGACAAAACATGAGTTACCTATAATTTGAGAACATCAAACAAATTCATGACTTTGGACTTATCTTTCCATTCTTTTCATTAAATGCTTTCTCTCATTTTTGATGAAAACCTTTCCAAAATGGGTTGCTTGCCTCCTTAACAAAGGATACTTCAAAAGACCTAGAATGCCTATCTGCAAATAGATCTATTTCGCACAGGGGACAGAAACATATGTTTTACCTGTATGCCATATAATTACTGGGAATGTATAATTATATGATTCACAACATTTTTTTGCCTTTGTGAAATTTGGCCTCAATTTTCCAAAAGTGCTTTCAAATGTTATCATTACCTCTTTCTTTCTGAATATTTCCATTGTAGAAATTATCTCTCCACACATCATCATCACTTACAACCAGGCTGAAAGAAAAGAGAAATAATCAAGTAAGTGATATTGAACTTTTTTAAAGTTGTATTTTCACTAACATGGATTTCTGAATTCAGAAAAAAGATTTCCACTGTTTAAACAGCATCACTTTACACCACAAATTATGCAAACAGAAAATTTACAGGCCACAGAAAAATCTTTTTTAGTAAAATGCTTGCTTATAGTTACAGCATCAGTGGTCACATTTACAAATAAACCAAACACCTATGCTAGCTAAAACACAAAAGTTCTTTAGTCTTCACATCAACAAAACAATTGTTCAAGATATAAGAAGGAAAATGAATGAAAATAGGAAACTGGTTCATAAGTTAAAATGTCGCTTAGTAATAAAATAGCAAAGATCACTCTGCTGATACCTAACTTGATGTGTTTTTTAATATTACTTTTAATCATGGCAGCTCAGCCGCAGTCATGCAACTATTTAAAGAAGCAGGCAAAATGCTGAACTGTTATAACTGCATTTTTAAGCAGTATAAACAACTCAGTTCTTTTATCAAAAATAGTGGTAATTATAAAAGGCTTCTAACCAGAAGCCATGTTAGCTTATACTACCCCTCTGCAGATAGTGTGACTATCACAGTTAGGTATACTATGACTCAAGTAAGCACTTCTGGAAGGTAACATCATCTAGTCCTAAAAGTTAGTTTCATAATCACTGTTACAGAGGTGACAAAGGGGCTACCTTAAAGCTCTGCTCGTTGGGATGCCGAGGTAGTGCAAAGCCTCACTAGCCAAAAATTCTCTCACTGAGGAACGCAGCACAGCTCTTCCATCACCATTTCTACAGAAAGTTAAAAATAAAAGGTTGTATTTGAAAGTTTAAATGCATTACAATTCTACCTAGATGACTAGAAAGCATGAGACTCTACCGTGAGTATGGAGTCTTTCTGGAACCTTTTAACTGGAGTTCCCACTTTTCACCATACCTTCGAAAAGAATATCAGCATCTTAGAATGTCCCCTCATCTTACCCAAAGAAAGGCAAAATACTTTTCTGTAAAACATTTGATACCTGTTTGTGTATATCCCAATAAGGTGAGCTCTTCCATCCCCAAGCTGATCTGCCCAGGTTCCAAACTTGGAAAAAAATGAAAAATATCAAAATTATCTTCAATTAATTACATACCTTAAGAATCAGTATTTTTTAAATGACATTGCTAAAAAAGAACGCTAAATATTAAGTCATGCTGGGGTTACAATAATGAGAGACTTGGCCCTAAATTAGAAAAATGTGAAGTATTTTCAGATAACTTTTACTTACATGGTCATCTTATAAGTTTAAAGAGGATCATCACAGAAAGATTTCCACAAAATGATAAATTTTTATAGCCCCAACCAATCATGATACTGACTATAAAACTCATACTGATGAAACAACAGATCTTTTGAAATATTAAGTGAACTAAATCTACATGAATGACTGTTTTTGTATCAAGACTGGACTAGCTCTAAGGTCCCTTCCAAAAATGAAGTTCTACAGTTCTAAGATATACTAGCTTTGGAGTCCACAAACCCTGAAATGAAAGCACGGACCAAATTTTGTAGATACTTGGGATAAGAAATATAAATAAGATTTTAAGTATTTAGTCAACTGTCTCACACATGCACCAGAGTTAGCTTATGTAAATCTAAGCACACCCTTTACACTATTCACTGACACCAGCTTAGAGGGCTTAGGAACAGTTTTATACCAAGAAAAAAAAAATCGGACAAAAGCACATTTGTTAGGTAAGTGACAATGACACTACTCCTCGGCTTTGAAGCACGCTGTCACTTATAAATTCCTAGGCTCTGTGTATGCAGCTTAATTTCAGGTTTGGGCAGACAACTATGTATTCATATAGTCTAACCAGTATCAAGGTAAATGCTACTTGCCAGAGTGAGCAACTAGCTATGAGTTCTTGATGCACAACTGGTCAAGGACCACTTCCCCAGGTAAGCCTAGTTCTTGTAGAACAAAGATGAAGGCGATCTGTGACATTCAGGGAGCAAAGCCACTAACACACGAAAATACAGCTGGCTATTTCAGGACTTCCATTGTTGTGTGTGTTATCTATCAGTGGATGTAAATTTTGTTGAGCTAGACCAATCTCCCTTTCCTTGGTTGTCTTTGGACTAGATAAGTGGATCAGGGAGTCAGAGACATCCAAGAAAAATTACAGGTCAAGAAACAAGAGCATCACCTTTGAAACAATGGGATGCTTCCATTTTGTACTGTGTAACTTAAAAGAGTGGATTTTATCCTCTGTTTTTTTGTGATATATAAATATAATTTAAAAATTGTGATGGAAAACCCACAGAGACTCAAGCTTCAGTCTCAAGAGTATTTTCCTTGCCGTCCACATCCAAAGAAAGAACTATGGAAGTCGAATCGCTCTCACTTAATTTTACCTTAAGTTGAATTTTGTTTCATCTTTCTGATGGTTCCTCCTATTGGTTTTAATTTTTACTTACAACTTCACTAATGTGAAAATATGTTTAATGGGTATGTAAATGTAAAGCCTATGTCAGATTGTGCGCCGTCTTGGGGAAGGCGGGGGGGGGAGAAAGGGAGAAAAAATTTTCAACTCAAAAGCATATGGAAAAAAAATTTTTTTTAAATAAAATAAAATAACATAATTCTTTACTAAAAAAAAAGAGTATTTTCCTATAGAGAGAATGGCAGAAGGTGGATATATTATTAATCACTGCACCGCACTAGAAATGATCCAATACAAGGTAGAAGAAAGCAGCTGCTGCTACCCTGCACACCGTCATGTGGCCATGAATGTATGACAATCTGGTACAGTTAGAACCAAAAAGAGATCTGGAATTAATGTGAAATTAGGAGTGGGGTTGGGAAAAAAGTCAGACAAAGCACATAAACTCCTTTTCATATTCTCCACCTAGCTCCTATGATATGTGAGAACCATAATTGGTATTGCAGAAAGGGGTTGAAATGAATTTTCTTACTCTGAGACAAATTAGAATTCCTCTTAATAGAGCACACTCAGGGAAAAGATGGTTGAAAAACTTAAACATCTAGAGCCTTTTCTAGCTGACTGGGTGACTGCTGAAGAGTGTTATCTCCAGAGTTAAAAAGCCTGAGGCTGTGAGCTTTTTGGGAGCAGAGACCATAGCAACTGCAGCAACAGATCAGTAAAAGAGTTGAATGCCACTTTAAGAGCAAAAATCACAGCAGACAGCATCAGAAATTCATCAGAAATGTTCAGTAGCAACTCAATGGAGATGACCCATAGCAAAGAGCTTCTCAATGACACCCAAGAAAGAGTAGCATAACAACATCACCAAAGGATAGGGGTGACTCTATAGCACTGGAGCTGTGAGTTGCCCAGCCATCCATGTTCCCTGACCACATCTGTTTCCTTCCTACCTGCCCCTCCACACACATTCACAAGCTACTTGGCTTCCCTACATATGCTCGTCTCCATAGGTGTTCCCTGGACATACATGTTCCCTATGTATGTCACTTTATATCTGTGTTCCCTGATCATACATTCCCTACATGTGTTATTCTCTCCCCTACCAGCTGTAGTACCAGCTCCTACCTTGTAGGAGAGAGTGTGCCTTTACCCCTGTTTAATGAGGGCTAGGTGAAATCTTTCTTGTCATTTATGTTTCTATACTATTTGATTAAATGTCTTTTGCCTTGAACCAGTTTGTCATTTGGCTAACTTTACCAGTTAGAAGAAGCACACTGCTGGGGGCTCATAAGCTATGGTTTTTGAGTTGACACTGACTTACAAAATGCCCAGGATATTGAATAGCTTTCTGGGGGCCCAAGTCTGAGGGAGGCACAAGAGAGTCAAGAAATACTAAATAAATATTATCTAAACCCAAAAGTGTTATAGGGCTTAAACAATTAATCCTATATTAATGAATTTCCTTTTTCATCTCAAATGCCACCCTTTGAGTGAATCTGTGAAGTTTGGATTCAGTCAAAAGGCTGCACTTGAGCACCTGGAAGGCCACATGTGGCCTCGAGGCTGCAGGTTCCCCACCCCTGTCCTAAACCTATGCCCTTCCATGGTATCTATTAGGGAGATGCTATGCCATAATGGAAGGAGATCTAGAATCAGAGGAACCCAAATGCCACCTCTGATACAGCACAGGCAAATCACCTAATCTCCACGAACCTAGGTTTCATAAGTATCACAGGATAATAGATTGACAGCTGGAAGAATCTTTAGAGGTCATCTAGTTCAACCCAATTATTCAACAGATATGGAAACTCAGACACAATGAGGAGAGAAGTAATTTGCTCAACAGCAAAGTTTTAACAGGCCCTCTGAGGAATTAGGGTTGCCAAAGACAAAAGGCCTATTTGCCCCCAAAGGAGTTCATGGATAAATCCATCCAAAGGGTGCAGACCATTGAGCTGATCTTCACATAGCAAAAGGCCCTCATGTCTGCATCTGACCCCAACAAGATGAGGCAAAATGGTGACACTGGACCCTCAAGTACCAATATATATGGACAGGTTCTCCCTGAGGGGAAGAAAAAGTGCCCAAAAGGGACCTACAGGACTCAGTATGCATTGCCTTAGGATATATTAATAATACACAGGCCTCTGTACAGAGACACAATTTGTCTTACTTATCTCAGAGGGATAAGTAACTCACAGAGATATGATATTCTCATAACCACTCTTTCCATAGCTCCATTCTGATGATTTAGGACCTAGAAAATATTATTATTATAACTCCGACAGTGATGCTATATATGGTGATATATACTCTAAGTAGTAAAACATTCTAAAATCATCTTGTTCAATTTTCAATATTCTGGACCAAGGAAATTAGTGAACAACAACTTCCTAACTTAAATGGAAACTCTAAAAAATGTTTACATTTCCATCTTAGAGAAGCAACATTAGCTTTACCTGATGGCCTCCATATCTATGGGCCAATGGAATAGAGCCAGATACTATCTTTTCACCACTTACAAGTTGAATAAAATTATTAGTTTTTGAAACAGAAAGATCAAGGTCCAAAATATCTTCCAGAACATCCTAAAAAAAAATCACATTAAAAATGTAAATAGGCTTTCTACGAATTTTCTATCAGAGTACTAATGACAAAGGGAAAAGATAAAATCATTTCAATAAATGCAATATTAAAAGTCTAGCTCCAAAAGATCTGTTCTTTTTTTTTACTTATCAATAATATCTGGAAAATCTGGTAGTTTATAACCTGCATTAACAAGTACTACAAACAAAAAAAATCTAATTCTACTTCACTGGAAAGTTTTGGGGTTTTTTTCTTAAAGTTGTATTCATAAGAATTAAAGTCTCAAAAAAATATTGCTTTTCCTTCCATGGCAAAGACCTTTACGGAACTGAAAAATTATTAACTTTCCATTTTGAGCCATGGAATAAGATTATATCATTGGAAGACAGCTTGGGGCTGGCTTATAAAAAATATTTTCAGGGTTATATGAAATTTTAATCTATTCCCATCCCCCCGATGTTATTTTCCAAAACTATTAGTACTGAAAGAAAAATTTAAAGTCAGATACTGTGTTTGCATGGTCATGTATATAGTATACATACTATGTGCATGGTCATGCAAACATATAAGATTTTTATATATGAGACTGTCAAGGTACATGAATAAATTAAACACAAAAGCAATAATTTACCCACTACATATATCAACTCTGATAGAACACATTATCCTTTTTTTATGAATGTTTCAGGTACTTGAATAAAGTATTCTTATTTTTATTATTTAAAAAGAGCCTAACCTTTGAAACTGCTACAAGACAAATCCTTGATTTGAAAGGAATAGGGTAAACAACAGAAAAAATACAGTTTCTCACTTTGCGAACATAATTTTCATAAACTGGATCAACTGGCAACATACCTGGTAGGAAAAAAAACAAAAACCTTACACTCAGTCATACACACACACACACACATACACATTTTATATATAATATATATTTCCTAAAAAAAAAGGAAAAATGATATCCACAAACTCAAACAAAATACATACATTTCATCAAGTAACAACAGTATAGCTTACTTCATTTTTAACACAGTAAATGTTTGTTATTTCACATTTTTAGCATTACAAGATAAAATACTGGGAAAGAAAATTCCTCTTTTCCACTGCTGATCACCTCCTTGTCCTTGATACTCTCTTCCCTCTAGCTTTTCATGATACTACTCTTTCCTGTTTCTCCTCCTGACTGTTCCTTCTCAGTCTCCTTTGCTAGATCTTCATCCAGCAAAGCTGGATGCTTGCTAATGATGAGGGTCCCACAAGGTTTAGTCCTGGGCTCTTATTTTCTCCTTCTCTACTATTTCATTTGGTGATCTCATCAGCTCCTATGAATTCAATTATCATCTCTATACAGATGATTCTTAAATCTGCTTATCCAGCTTTTTGAATTCCATTCAAAATAACTACAGAATGTATAAAATATTTTAAGAGTCTACCTACCAACACATACAAAGGAATTATTCTAAATATGACTACAAAACATTTTAGAGAAATAAAGACAGACCCAAATAAATACAGCAACATTAATGACTCAGGTGAGCAATGATAACATAAAAATGACAATGCTATGAAATAAACCTGTTTATTCAAGGTTATATGAACCAAAATACCAATGAATTACTTTTGTGAGCTGGAAAAAAATTATAAAATTTATCTGAAGTAACAAAAGGTCAATATTGTCAAGGGAAATAATAAAAATAAAATAAAATAAGATGGGATACTGGAAGCACCAGTTCTCAAATTATATTACAAAATAGTTGTCAAAACTCTTTGGTGCTAACTAAAAAACAATGAAGTTGATCAGTGGAACAGATTAGGTTCAGGACTTACTGAAGCTAACAAACACAGTAATACAGTGTTCCATAAACTCAAACTCCATAACTACTGGAATAAGGACTCACAATTCAACAAAAACTGCTGGGAAAATGGGAAAAGTCTGGCAGATATTAGGTTTAAACCAATACTTCATACTACACATTAAGATAAGCTCCAAATGGTTTTATGAACTAAATACAAAAGATCACATTATTAAGAGACAATTAGAGAAGGAAGAAAATACCTGTGGATAGGGGGACCAGAGAAGGGGCCGAAAGATCACAAAAGATAAGACTAACAGTTTTGATTACAAAAAATTGCAGTTTTACACAAACAAAATCAATGCAGTTAAGATTAGAAGGTTAATAGTTAACTGGGAAAAAATATTCATAGGCAGTTTAAAAAAAACCAAATATCTCAAATCCGATATAAGGAACTGATATAAATATATAATAAAAACCATTTCCAAATAGTCAGAGTTCAAAGACATGAACAAGAAGTTCTCAAAGGAAGAATTTTTTAAAAACCACTGCAGATCACAATCAATATAAAAAGTACAGATCAAAACAGCTCTGAGTTTCCACCTGATAGATATCTTATTGACAAACAGAAAAATGGCAATTGTTGATGAGGCTGTAGAAAAACAGGCAAAATGACATGCTACGGGTGGAGCTGTGAATTAGTCCAGTCAGTCTAAAATGCAATTTTGAACTAGGCCCCAAGTCATTCAATCATGCGTACCTTTGAACCCACAATGCCACTACTAGGCCTAAAGCCTAATGAAGAAGAAAAAAAAAAGGAAAAAATAGACATATAGACAAAAATGTTTATATCAGCTCTGCTGTTGTAGTAAAGAACTATAAACAACGGGGTACCCAACAACTGGAGAATGGCTGAACAAATTATAAATGTAATGGAAAATTACTGTACTATAAAAAATGGATAATGGGATGACTTCAGAGAACCCAGAAAGATCTGTATGAACTGATACAGTGAAGTGAACAGAACCAGGAGAATAATGATAGTAACCACACTGTAAAGGAAGGCTTAAGCACTCTGATCAATTCAATGACCAACCATGACTCTAGAGGATTAATGTGAGCATGATACCCACCTCCTGACAGAGGGATGATGAATTCAAGATAGCATGAAACATATTTTTCTGGATGTGAACATTAGTGGACTTATTTTGTTTGACTATGCTTATTTGTTAAAGAATTGTATTTTTCTTTTTTTATTTGGGATAGGAGAAGAGCAGTAGAGCTAATGTTGCCAGAAAAGACAGAAAAATAGAGTCATTAAAGAATTTTTTAAAATGCTCAGCAGACAACATAAGGAAGTTTAAAAAGGAAACACAAATAAGTAGCAGTTTTGAAACTTAATACGTTAAATTTATTATATATACTTTTTAAAAAGTTGTATTGATAGATCCTCATTTTCACATGAAAAATCCTTTTTATATTTTAGTTTTTATATGGAAATGTTTTTATAAATTCAGAATTTTAAAAAATGAGTGGCTCACCCATCTTTGATATGTTCATTACAAAGAAACCCTTCTCCTCCCCACAGCTCCTTGCATGCCCTATGACTCCAACAGTGGTGGTATAAGTGCTCAAAGAGAATGATGTTCACCATCCTGACTGGCCACATCTAGAAGCTTGAGCAATACTCAGGTTTTATAGCTGACATTTTTAAATGGATAATAAATTAGCTCTTTTCATTAAAAAAAAAATCATTAGCTTAGCAAGACAGAGTTACCAAAAAGAAATCTTGCTATGTTGGTCATCTACCATCACTGAAAACATATCAGTATATCATACCCTGTGAATGACTTAGCATTACAGTGATCCAACACAATTCTGAAGGACTTAAGATGAAAAATGTTCTCCATCTCCTGAGGAAGAATTTATGGAGTCTAAATGTAGTTCAAAGCATGCTTTTTAAACTTTCTTTTTCTTGGGGGTTTTTTTTTAGTGTTTTCTTTCACAAAATAATTAATAGAAAAATACATTTTGCATGACTGCACACATATAACTAATGTCAAATTGTTTGCCTTCTCAGTGAAGGAGGAAGAGAATTTGGAACTGAAAATTTTTTCAGATGTTAAACTTTACATGGGAATTGGGAATATTGAAAAGATATGTATATATATATATATGTGTGTGTGTGTATATGTGTGTGTGTACACACACACATATATGTATCAGGATATATGCTGTCAGAGGCAGTGTGTTGTAGTGGAACCTAGGAGTCAGGAAGTCTGTTTCTCACACATACTAGCTGAGTGATCCTGGGCAAATCACTTAATTTAGTGTCCCAGGCAACTTTCTAAGGCTTTAAGTTACAACCAGGTGTGGACTGGTAGAGGGAGTTTCCACACCACAAATTCTCTACAGAGATGAACCCATATTTATAAAGGCTGGCCGAATGATGTTTAAAACATTCCTAGATTTGAATAACGGCAACCAATCTCTCTTTTGCAATGATAACCTACACTTGGAGATAAACATCTAATCCACTTAGAAGAGCAAAATGAAGCAATTATCCTTATCAGGAACTGACTGTAACCTGAGCAAATAAGTCTGTGTGCTTTAAAGATGTGCCATCATCAAGACTCTTGCAAGACTCACCTACACAGTTTATAGAGATACCTGGCAGTTTTTTGGCTCACACCTGTGATTTCATCAGTGTAGGGAATTCTCTATGAGCAAAGTTCCACCAAAACTGATGGGCACAGATACAAAATATATAGGCTTAAAAAGTTACATACTGTGATTTTTGTGCGACCTAGAAGAGTCACTACACCTCTGGGGGTCTCAGTTTCCTATTCTGTGAAATGAGGAGCTTGTATTAGATAGCCTCTAAATTTGGTTCCAGCTGTGTAATAGAAGCTATGATGTTACTTATCAACCAGCAAAGAAGTAAAACTCTTGAAAATAATATCAGCACCCAAACTATGAGAGGGACTGTGTAGTTGAGTCTGACACATACTGCTGTGTGCTCCTGGCAAGTCCCTTAATCTCAAAGTCTCAGTCAACTTTCTAAGACTTCAATTGTGAATTAATAGGATCTTTCCATATCCACTGGTTCTCTATAGAAATCAACTCACTTGTCCCTGAACAATCTGTTATGTGTATACATATACATGTGTGTATGCACATACAAATGTATGTGTATATACAAGCACACATAAACATGCATTTATATTTTATATGTACATGTACATTTATAAGTACACATGTATATGTGTATATATATGGTTGATAACCAATATCATCTATATGTGGGTATGTATACACTAGACACATACTGGCAAAGACTTGTCCAGAGTCACACAACCGCTAACCATCTGAAACTAGACTCGAACCTAGATCTTAGTGACTCAGTCAAAGCCTCTGAAGTCTCTGGGGCAGTAGATACTCGTGGTACAAGATTCCCAAATCAGAGAAATTGGGCCGCTAGGGGGCGCAGGGGGCGCAGTGGCTAAAGCTCCAGCCTTGGAGTCAGGAGGACCTGAGTTCAAATTCGCCCCAGACACATGACACTAGTTGTGTGACCCTGGGCAAGTCACTTAACCCCGATTGCCTCACCAAAAAAAAAACCAAACAAACAAAATCAGAGATTGCCAATTTCGTGCTTTTTTTTCCCTTCACAATAGGTGACTTCCTAAGACTTCAAAGACTGTTAAACTGTGGCCTGGTGGATGAAGTTTCCACACCAAGAGTTCCCCTTCGAGATGAACGCACAAGTCCTTAGCCCCTACGTGTGTGCGTATGCGCGCCTGGGTGCATGTGTGCGGATATGTGTATGTGTGCATGTGTGTGCATGTGCATACACGGGACAGCCCGAGTGGCTCACATGCACAACTCGGAATCCCGGGTCTGCCTGGCTCTCGGACCCTGGCCACTGGTAGACCCCATCTGTACCTACGAGGCTTTCTGAAGACAGGCTCCAAGAATCAAGCGAGCGGCCCAGTCCGGTTTTCCGTTCGCAAAAGCCCGGGCCGGACTCATTGACGGGGAGATGCTCGAAGCCGGCCCTCCGTCCCAGGGCCGGGAGCTCTTCCAGGAAACCGCAGGCGGCTCTGCAGCAGAGGAGCACGGCCAGCAGCGCGCGCCCCGCCGCCGCAGCCTCGAGCTCCCGGCTCCCCTCTCCATGGGCCCACCCGGGCCTGCCCGGCGCGCACACCTCGGGCCTCAACGCGTGGAAAGGGCACCATCCGGGGGAAGAGAGGACCGCGGGCGGCCGGGGGCTGGAGCGCCCAGAGGCGCGGGGCGGGGCAGGGCGGTGCGAGGGGCGGAGTGCGCGTTCAGGCCACCGCCCCCTCCTCTATTTCCCGTCGGGCCCTCGCCTCCTGCCTGGCTGACCACCTGGGGGGGGGGTCCGTGTGCGTGCGCAGCTCGGGCTCGCGTCAGCCTCGCTCTCAGGCAAGAGGGGCAGTGTGGGCGGAAGCGCTTCTTGTGCCAGGTTTCCGGCTCCGGGTCCCCGCGGTGGGGAGGGGGGCTGGGGCGGAGCGGCCCGCCGGACTGGAGAGCGGGATCATGGCCTCGCTGGGCTGGCGCTGGCGGCGCTGCTGCTCGTGGAGAGCGGCCTCGGGGTGCCCCAGGCTCGGCGCCCTGCGGAACCCGCCCGAAGGCCAGGGATGGCCGGCCCCCGCCCGCCCCGCGACCGGCTCCTGGGGTCAGGTGAGTGGAGCGCTGAGGAAGGTAGAGGGCGGGCGAGAGAAGGCGAGCGCGCAGAGGTCACGGCGGCAATGACAGCGGAATGAATGGGGAGCCCGGAACCGGCACGTGTGCGCGGAGGAGGGCGGGCGGAGCTGGGGCGAGAAGCAGGCCCCAGGGGCACTGCCTTCTGCTGGGAAGAGGGTGAGGGCGGTCAGCCGCTAGCTGAGAGAGAGAGAGAGAGAGACGTGTGTGTGTGTGTGTGTGTGAGAGAGAGAGAGAGAGAGAGAGAGAAGAGAGAGAGACAGAGAAGAGAACCTAAGGGAGCGTAAGTGTGTGTAAGCGCGGGAGTGTGTGTGCGGCGTGTGTGTGAGGGGAGCCAGGTGTTTCGGGGGCGTTCAGGGAGGTGTGAAATGGAGACCTTGACTGGCAGAGGATGAGACCCAGACCCGGGGGTACAGGCTTTGCAAGAGAAGGGGACTGAAGGAAAATGAGGCCGGGGTTTGGGGGAAAGTGTTTGGGGAGGGGGTGCTGAATGTGCAGCAGTGTTCTCTGGAGGGGAGGGGCAGCACTTAGGTTGAGAGCTGGGAGGGTGGGAACCGGGCCCTGGGGCAGAGGATTTTCCTGGGAAAGGGGATGAGGGGTGGGGGGTGAGAGAGCAGTGAGTCTGAGAGCTATGTCTTGGAGAGGTGGGGATGAGATCCGAGACCCAAGGGAGGAGGGGGGAAGATGAGAACAAGGTCCTTGTTTAAGTGGGGAAATGGAGAATTGGTAAAGCGGGCCGAGTGGAGACCTGGGTGGCGTAGGATAGGAGAGCAGGGTGGTGTTGAGAGGGGAGGAGACCTGGTCCCAGAAGAGGGAGTAGAATGGAGTGCTGGGATGGAAGTATAGGTGAGAGCAGTTAATCTGGATTAACTCTTCCCTTTTCCTAATCTGTCTTCCATGGGAATAGAGTGAGGGTGTTGTCCTAGGGGCAAGGGGGTATTTGAAGTAAGGTGCTAACCTACGTACTGAGATTAAGACCGAGGTGTGGAAGAGAGGAAAGAATTTGTATTTTCATGGTTCTGTGGGTGGGACTGGGCAGAGAGAAAATGAAGAGAAAGAACCACAAGGATATACTCAAGGGGAAAATAGAGCTAGAAAGCTTGTGCCTGGTAGCTCATAGGAAATTAGCAATAGAGCAGGAAGAGATCTTAGGGAATAATGTAGTTCCAATCCCTCATCTCATAGGTGAGGAAACCAGGTCACTTCAGTCAAGGTGTTCTTTTTACCATCCCACTGTGCTTCCACCAGTGTGAAGTGTGAAACATCTACAAGGAGAAAACTCTGCTATAGAGAACCTGACAGTCTAGTTGGATGGACAAGATTCACATGCATTGACTTCAACAAATATATTTTGAGTGCCATTTCTACCTTCTCGATGTTTCTCATATCTGATCCCTTCTCTCTGCTCACATAGCCAGTCACCATCTTACTTCAGGTTTTTATCACCTCTTTCTAGATTATTATTAGCAGCCTCTTGGTCACTCTGCCACAAGCATCTTCCCATAAGAGTCAGTTTACCACTCTGATTTTTCTTAAGCACAGATATATAATCATATCACTCCTCTATTTAATAAATAAACTCTAGTGCCTCCCTATTACCTCATTTACAAATGAGATATTTGTAAAGCAGAATAGTGACTGGCATAGATGCTTATTCCCTTCTCTTCCTTTTCCCTCTTGAGACAAAATATAAATTCTATTTGGGTTTTTTTTGTTTTGTTTTGTTTTGGTGAGGCAGTCAGGGTTAAGTGACTTGCCCAGGATCGCACAGCTAGTAATTGTCAAGTGTCTGAGGCACCACTTAGCTGCCCCTTCTATTTAGTTTTTAAAGCCTTTCACAACCTGATCCCAGCCTCTTTTCAGTTTTGTTGTACCTCAGTTCCCCTCTCCAAGTCTGCAGTCCAGCCAAATTGCCTCTTCTACTTCTCAAATTAATAAGCATACATTAAGCACCTGTTGTGTGCCAGAAACCATGTTAAGCACTGGAGATACAAAGGTTTAAAAAAACCTATTCTCAAGGAGCTCCGCCTAGACAACACACCACCTTCTGTTTTCTGCCTTTTCACTCACAGGTCCCCCATAGGTACAATGTTTCCTTTTTCTCACCTCCAAGTTATAGAAGTCCTCTTCCTTCAAAACTCAGCTCCAGCACCACCACCTATGTGAAGCACTTCCTCTGTTACCCCAACTGTTAGGGTGAGCACTCTCTAACAGCCATGTATATAACTACTTTGTGTTTTATTTGTATTTACTCTCTTTATAGTCTGTTCTTGTCTCCTCTATTGGAGTATAAGGCCCTTGAGAGCGGAGATTGGTTTTTATTGTTGTTATTGTTTTTTTTCAGATCTTAAGCTTGTTGATTTATAAAGTGCATAATGCATGCAAGGTACAATGCTATGTGCTATGGGGAATACAAGGAAGAGTAAAGCTATGTAGTAGGGGAATTGAGGTGTGATTTAACTATACCCCAGTGTGTTTTAACTATAATATGAAACATCAAGCACACAAATTTTAGAGGAGGGAATGATACATAGGGAAACAATTAGAGAACAGATGTGCAAATTGAAAGGTCCCCAGTATTTCTGAGAAGGAAGAGATTTGTGTGGACTGAAAGGCTTCATAGGAGATGTTAGAAATTAAATGCATCTTGTAGGCTTAGTATAGAGGAGGAGGAAAGGGCATTCTAGGTGAGAAGGCTAGTTCTATGACCAGAGTCCTGGAGACAGGGAACTCGCTTGGTGTGTGTTATAATGGGGTCCAGAGTAGAAGTTTTACAAGGAAATTACTGAGAGATAAGGTTGGATTATAGGGTGGGGCCAGATGGTGGAAAGCTCAAAGTCCTCCATACTCCAGCAAGTTTGTACTCAGTATAGTAGGAAGTAGGGATCCCTTGCAGTCTGTTTCTTAATGAATACTGGTCCTAATTTCAAATAGAGAAGGGGAGAACAGTTAAGAATGAGGTTATTGCATTAATCTCAATGTAAAGTGAAGGGATTGAGGATGAGCGATAAAAGTAGAGATCACCCAGCAATAATGTACCACCTTGTGGCCTCTTTTCAATTGTTGTTTGAACTATTATTGCAATACCTTCATACTTCAAGAAGCCTAGATTTTATCACTGTGAGCAGCTCTTCTAAGCAGTTTGGTAATACTAATAAAAGCTCACATTGATGTAGCACTTTACATACTTTGTCTCATTTGAGCTCTACAGTTACCTTGTGAGGTAGGTGTTGTTATCCCTGTTTTACCAAGGGGCAAATAGATTTAAACAAGTTGTGATTTGTTCAGGGTCTCAAAGTCTTAAGTCATTGAGTCAAGATTCAAACCCAGGTCTTCCTGGCTCCAAGTCTAATATTCTTCCCACTGTATGATGGAAAGGTGCTACAGCACCCCAAAAAAAAGAGGTCATCACCTGATGGCTAGCCTTGTGGGCATGAGTAAGTACCTTAAAATGTTAAACTCAGTGTCCTTGTCAGTGCAATGAGAATAATAACAACTGATTCAGCTATCTTATGATGATCATACATAATAACATATCTGAAAGCACTTTGGCAACTTCAAACTTAAGATAATATTATTCACATATTTCCTTCATTCCCATTTGCTTTCCCTTTTGCTCGTGAAAGCTAGTCCATTTTTGGTCTAGTGGTACTTGTGCATCCTGGGGCTAGCCCAGAGACCTTGGACTGAACCTGACCATACTAAGTGCAGAGGGTCAGTAGGGGCCATTTTAATTCCAGGCCTGATTCCCAACTCCCCCCAAAAGCCCCACCTTTAGAGCCTTCTCCCACTTCATTCTGACTTTGTAGTCAACTAAAATTCCTCTTTTTTTTTTTTTTTCAAATGTTCTTCTATTAAGCCATCTCTTTGCATTCTTGTGTAAGTAAAACATTTTTTGGAATTAAGCACAGACTTTATCTTTTTAAAATTTCATTTTGTTAGTTTGATTATTTTTCTATCCTAGTGAGATCTTTTTGAATTAGGATTCCACTCTCTAACATCTCTGTTCTTCCAACTTTGCATCATTCAAATCTTTGACTGGAATTTTGCCTTGTATGTCTTCATTCATTACCTTGGTAAAAGATATTAAACAGGAATGGGCCAAGGATGGAGCCCTATGGCAAGCATTAGATATCTTTCTGCAAGGTGATGTATTCCCAACAATTTACATTCTTTAGATCCAGTTATTTTGTAAGCTATGATTGAGGAATAATCTAGCTCATTTTTATTCACCTGGCTCACAAGGATATCATGAGAAACCTTGTCACACTACTTCCTGATATCATCAGCATGTTGACAACATTTCTTTGATAGGTATCTAGTAATGCAATGAAGGATGCAAATTTGAACTTAATAAACATTTCTTAAGCAAGGTGCAGGGGATACAAAGATTGGCATGACACAGAGCCTGGTCCTTAGCAGCTTACAGTCTAACAGGAAAAATGACTTGCACAAATATTCATAATACAAAGTAAACAAAACAAACTCATGGCTAGGCAAAGAAAGTGCTATGAAAATTTTGAGGAAAGTAGGATGACCCCATGAAGAGAGGAAAGTTAGACCTTAGGGTGAAGGACTATTTCTTGACAAGGAAGAAGTGTTTTTTTTCCTACAAAACTAGAAGAGAGGATTGGTGAGGATAATAAAAATAAAATAGAGTGGTAAGAGATTTCTCAGGCCAAGTAGTACAGTCCTCTCTTTTTACAGGTGAAGAAACTGGACAAAGGAGATTAAGTAACTTGCAAAGGTCACACAGACTGTGTCTGAATCAGGATATAAATCTCTCTCTTTTTTTTTTCCTCAATAAAGCGGAAGGTAAGGTCATCTTTGGGGCCAGGGTAGGGGGAGGAGCTACACCCTTATGGGAGTTAGGGAGGCAGGATGGTGCAATAGAACAAATGTTAGATTTGGAGTTGGAGGACCTGGGTTTGAATCATGCCTCTGCTTCCTTCATTACTTCAGGCAAGTCCCTCAATCTTCTCGGGCCTCAGTTTCCTCATCAGTAAAATGAGGAGGTTGGACTAGGTGGCTCCTGTGGTCCCTTCCAGCTCTGTGTATTCTGTGCAGGGCGACACGAAGCAAGAACTGCCATGGGTACTCAGGGCCCAGTTAAAGTGAGCGTAGACTGACAGTGGACCCAGAAAGGACACGGGTGTGGTTTCCTCTAGCAGCATTCCAGCTGTCCGTGGCAGGAATAGGAGTTCCCCATAGTTCACCCATGAATATGGGTGAGGAGATAGGTGCTCCCTTTAAAAAGAAGGCCGTCACTTCCTCCCAGATGAGGGGGAAGATTGATGAGAAGGTGAAGGATGGGGCAGGAAGGGAATGGATGGGAAAGGGCAGTTTTTGTGCCTTAGGGTTCAGTATCTCCAAAGTGGACCACTTTCTATCATGATAAGGTCTAAGGTGTGACCAGTGGCTGGAATGGAGTTGGCAGGTATAGAATATCAAAGAAAGTAAGAAGAGGGTATGAGAAGAGCCAGTGACATAATTATGGATCTCTGAGGGGGAAGAAGCAAAGTAACATGCTAATTTGGTTTGATTTGCCTCTTAATGAATGAATGCATGCATAGAGAGTACTAAGCTTAAGAGTCAGGAACTGAAGTGAACAAGCATTGATTTTTACTCTGAAATTGTTGTTGATGTTCAGTCATTCAGAAGTTTGTCTTCTTGACTCCATTTGGGGTGTTCTTGGCAGAGATGTTGGAGTGGTTTGCCATTTCTTTCTCCGGCTCATTTCACAGATGAGGAAATTGAGGCAAACAGGGTTAAGTGACTTTTCCAGAGTCACAAAGATAGTAAGTGTCTGAGGCCAGATTTGAACTGAGGAAGGCAAGTCTTCCTGATTCCAGGTCCCTCTGTACCCACCTAGCTGCCCTACTCTGAAATACTCAAGTTCAAATTTATCCTATTTTTCCTGCCTATAAATTACCTTATAAGATTTCTGGCTTGTAATGGTTCAGGTGGTTTTAAAAATCTAGTTGTCAGGAAATAGCTTAAATATATAGAGGAGGATGTGTTCTGGTCATGGTCTTGTTACCTAGGATGTTTATTGCATCAATCAATCAGCAAATATTTATTAAGCACCTATTATGTGCCAGGCACTGTGCATCTGAATAAATTGCAGAGCCTGCAATTTTCAGTTCTCGTACCTATGCAAATTTCCCTTCTCTGTGATTATAACTTATGCTTCTTTGTTGTTTTTGTTTGTTTATTTGGGTTATTTGCAGTGTTCCCAAACCCTATTCTATTAGATCTTTGTCTACTTCTCATAGGTAGTTATGCTTTACTCTGCGCCTCCAAGCTGTTTCCTGTTTCTCGTAGTTCTCGTAACACTTAAAGCCGACACGCATCTTAGAGATCATCTAGTTTAACCACAACCCCACCCCTCATTTTACAAAAGAGGCAAAGTGACTTGCCTCCAGTCCCCCAGGTAGTAAGCAGTAGAACTGGTATTTGAACAAAGATCTTACGGTTTTTCAGTTAGTCCAGTGCCTTACTAATCTCCTTTCTAGTAGAAGCATGATGTGACTTGTGCCCTCTTGGGAATTATGCTCCCAGGTTTATCAAGAAGTTCATCTGAATTGGTTTTAATGCCCTTCTTTGTCATCGATAGAGCATTTCCCTGTGTTTGGTAATAGAAAAACTCTCATGGGCTTTGTAGGCAACAGGAGAAAATAAATAATTATAAATCAATAATTTTTTAAGATCCAAGTAGGTGTGGGATAAATCATTTAAAAAACCAGTATGGGTTTATGAAGACAAACCGTGCTTTACCTAGCTTCTGTGTCAAAGTGTTAATCCTTGTAAAAGGAGAACAAGACAAACCTCAGCTTCAGCCTTTATTTTTTCTTGATGGGCTCACAGTTTGGTTGGTTGGTTAGGACTTAGAGAGAGGTGATAATAGAAGAGAGACAGGGGAGAATCTGGGTACGTAGAGGGCAATCAGATATTCATAGGATCATACATTTGGAGCTAGAAGGAAAATTACTTGCTGAAGATCACAGAGAATCAGGATTGAAATCAGGCCCTTGGATTTCAAGTCCAGCGTGCCTTCCACTGTGTTAATGGTGGTGATAGTGATGTACCCTACTCTAGAAACCCATAATTTATACATTTGAAAGGTTTTGTTTCAATTTAAAAGTTTCTTATGGGCAAGAGAGTTAAAAAATATAGTCCCTGTGCAAAAATAGAATCTATTGTTAAAATGTATTTTTTTATTTTATTAGTGTGGAGAGCTCCCCATGTAGAAACTCTCTCAATCAATACACTTTAATAACTCATCCAATTTATAGACTAACAATTTTTCAGTACTGTTTCTTTTTAAGTTACAAATTATTGTGTAGTATCACCTAAGCAGTTTACTAAAGTTTATTGTTATGGGACTGAATCTAATTTTAAGTGGGAGGAAATTCACTCCAGAATTGTCATTTTCCTAAAGTTTACAGTCCAACTAAATGAGAGAACTTAGAAGGAAGAACTTTTATTTAATAAGAATTACAGGGCTTCCGCGTTAACATTTTTTTCCTTCAGCTTGTCTTTTCTTTTATAGATGCTTCATTTCAGTCTGGTGAGGTGTTTAGTATCCTGTCCAAATAGGCACAGTATATCACGGTAAGTTTTATAATCCCTTTAAACACTGGGCAGCTAAAATTGTTGAGTTGCATAAACAATCTGTTTATTCAAAATAACCTAGGAATAGACATTTCTGTTTAACTGTTTAATGGGAATATTCTGTTTAACTGAGAGTCATCATGTATGAGGGAGGTTGGAAAGTTAGTGATGTCCATCCTTTTAGTGCTAAAAAGTACATTTTAGTTCCCCAGTGTCCTGGTCACCCAGTGGACAATTAGTTCACTTGACTATTTTGTTTGTGAGGTGGAGAAAGTGAGGTAATAGGGATGATAGGAGAGGCAGCTTCCTGCAAGCCTGGATTTGTTCCAGAAGATCTGGTGGACTGGATGCCTTAACCTTAGCACTGCGTGGCTATCCATTAGAATGGACCTATAAACCATACCTGCCATAAAACTACTTAAAAATTTCATCCTTTAAGCTTTCAAAAGCACTTTTGTGTTTTATAGTGCCTACGGGTCATCTTTATGAATATCCATTTGATGTATATTGCAATCCCAAAATTTTGTGTTTTGATTCTGCAGAACTAGAAGTTATTCTGTAGAAGTAAAGATTAAAGCTTCTGTTTTTGGAAACAGATTAAGAGATTTTTTTTTCCAGATAGGTAAATGTGAGGCCTTATCTCCAACATAATGAGTTTGTATCCTCTAAGGTTACAATATTAAGTTTTTTATGATCTATAATGACCTCCTTTGTATCTTTTAATTTGCATGTGCATATCATGACTTGAGTTTTCTTTTACTGAAAAATAATGCCATCGTAATGAATGAAATAGAGTCTTGCCTTTTCTTGTTTCCATCACTACTTTCCCCAGGTTTCATCACACAACTCAGGCAGTGGGCTGCTATAGTGAAACACAGAGTGGTGAAAAATACACAGACCCTTTTAAGCTTGGTCGGAGAGACCTGACTGATTTATACGAAGATATTAAAAAGGTAAGATGGTAGTATAAAATGAATTATAAAAGCAAATTGGCACAACAATGCAGGTTCATTGAAATTAATAGAGATTAGTAGCAGTTATCTTATTATCAGGTGGGGGGGGTTTGTTTGTTTTAAGGTAATTTTTTCTCAAAAATAAATATTTTAGAGCATCATATGAAAGGCGCTGTGGACTGGCTTCCAAAGCCCTCCATAATCTGGCCTCACCCTATATATCCACCCCACCCCCTAACATGAAACATCTGATCCAACCCCAGTATCTACAGGCCCCTTTCACAAAGTGTCTAATTCCTTCTCTGTCCTTCTCTTCGCTGTTCTCCTCCCCTGGGATATTCAGTCTTTTCCTCTTTTTCTTATCTAAGTCTTATTCTATTCATCCTTCAAGGCCAGCACAAGATGAAGTCTCCCAACAGACCTTTTCTTAGTATTCCAGCTTACACTGCTACGTCCTTTCTTAATTCATACTGCACTTAAAGTGAGTGTTAATTGTTTTTTGTCTGTCTTAGCTCCTTATGTCATCCACTCTAAGGTTACTTACCATCTACTCTGTATTTATCTTGTAGGTTATCATATTTTTGAGGCAGGTAGGTGGTGCAGTGGATAGAGCACCAGGCCTAGAGTCAGGAAGACTGGATCCAAATGTGGTCTCATGCCCTTACTAGCTGTGTAACCCTGGGCAAATCACTTAACTCCTGTCTGCCTCAGTTTCTTCCTCTCTAAAATGGGAATAATAATACCACCTGCCTCCTAGGGTTGTTATAAGGATTGAGTGAGATAATAATCGTAAAGGCCTTAGCATAGTGCCTGGCACATAGTAAGCACTGTATAAGCGTTAACTGTAATAATAACAGTTGTTGCTATGTGTTCACTCCTTTTAGAATGTAAGCTCTTTGAGGGCAGGGACTTTTTTTTTTGAGGCAATTGGGGTTAAGTGACTTGCCCAGGGTCACATAGCTAAGTAGGGACTTTTCTTGATTTTTCTTTGTGACCTCAGTCCTTTACACACGGTAATTACTTAATGCCTATTAACTGGTTAATTTAGATCAAGGACTGTCTTGATCTTCTTTCACTTTGCCCTAGATTTGGTATTTGTGGTGAGTGGGAATTAAGAAGTGAAAATGACACCAGGCTGTGAACCTGAGTGACTTTGAGGATGGTGGTACCCTCACAGTGATAGGGAAGTTTGGAAGAGGCGTAGGGTTGGAGGGAAAGGAAAACTTCTCTCTTGGAAGTGAGTTGGAGATGTCTGTGGAGTATTGAGTTCAGAATGTTAGACAGTTGATAATGTGGCTCAGGAGAGAGACCAGGGCTGCATAGATAGATCTGGGAATAATATTTATATCTACAGAAGCCAATGAGATTACCAACAAGGGGATTATAGAGAGAAAGGGTAGCCCAGAACAAAGTTATCAGTGTATCTGCAGTTAGTGTGATAGAAACCAGTGGCCTGACTCCAAAGGGTGGAAGATGAGCCAGCTTTCTGTCCATCACACTACTATAAGTGATAGCATATATTTACACAGAATTTTACCTACACCAAGCCTCCAAAGTAGGCAAAATCATGCAAGCGTGATTTTTTTTCCCATTTTACAGATGAGGAAAATGAGGTTCAGAGAGGTGCCCTGACTGCCATTCCCCCCACCCCAAATCATGTAGTGAGTAAATGCCAGGAAGGCTTCTGCTATTTTGGCTTTCTTTGTGTTCTTTCTAGCAGTGAAATAAGCCCTTTATTTCAGGAATTATTGGTATCTACAACAGAACTTAAGGAAATGTGTGAATACTACTTTGATGGCAGAGGAAAAGCTTTTCGACCAATTGTCGTGGTGCTAATGGCCCGAGCTTGCAATGTTCATCATAATAATTGCCGGTGAGTTATGTTCCTCAGAATGCTTTATTAATGAATCCTCCATAAGGAATCTGTTCTCAGTACCTAGCAGAAGGCCTGGAATAGATCAGGTGGCTTATGATTACTTGTCTGTTTGTTCTGAGTCTGGAGAAGTCCTCCAACTTAACGCCCCGTGGGTACTTCCTAGGCATCTGTAAATGCTAAGTGATCAACAGTTGAGGAGCAACTTTTTCATCAGTCAGATGGGTTCTCAGTTGACATGTTAAGGTCCCCTGAAAACCCAAAGCTTGTTGGTAATTGGCATGAAGAGCCAGAAACGAGCTCCTTCCTCTTAACCTGGCAGAACCACTTCTTCAGCAGTAGTTTGATATCTGCAGGCCAGGAAAAGCTTGTAGCTGCAAGAAATGCTTGTAGGGGCAACTTTAGCAGCTAAAGAAAGAGAACTTCCAGGGCGCACATGCTGCTGTAGTCATTACACAGATGGAAGGTCAGCTTAACAGTTGTAAAGGTTGCTTATTGTGAACTAGTGAAATAGCATCAGTATACAGCTAACTGATGGTAAGTACCTTGCCATGGCCGTTCAGAATGTTAAACATTTAACAAAGAAATGCAAACTGTAGGAGAAAATAGTCATGAAATAAAGAAAAATGTTTTGGGCTACTTGGTTCCTAAAGTTTACTGTTTTAATAATAATAATATTTTTTTAGAGGGACTTTCCATATCTTTGGTCATATTTTTTAAATTACTCTAAGAGTACCAAAAGAAATAATGCTTTGCAAATCTAAAGCCCAGGTAAATTTTTAGTTGTTATTTTCCTTCATTTCCTTCATTGAAGAGACATTGAAAGGAAACACTATCATTGAATCCCTCTGATTAGACATTCTTTGAATTTGCCTTATTGGTCACTTTTTGCAGATTGTTGTTTGCAAAAAATATAGGTGGCTGTGGAAGAATTAAAATGGAAAATACCCATTGGTTCCTTAGAATCAAGTGACTATGATAACATTGAGTCTGCTTTATTTTAGCATTTCCATTTTTTGTTATAAAAGTTTTGAACACTGGAGCTATCTGGAGGTCAGGCCATATCAAGTCCATCAAAAAACCTTAGAAAAGTAGAAAAGGTTGAAACTGTGTTGAGTACCATCCAGATGACTTTAGGACCTAGCTTGCTTCTTTGTATGCTGAGCTCTTTCTGCCTCACCTTTGTTGGGAAAAACACTTCCGCTCCAGGCCTTGCCACCTAAAGTAGCAAGAGGCTTCCAGCCAGGCCATTTGGAGCCCTATTACTGACAGGAGCTTGCGGAGGGAGCCAGAGCTGCTAGCTTGGTGGTTGCTGGAGCATTTCCTTAAGAGGAAGAACTATGTGGGTCCCCCAGAAGCTTGTTAGTATCTTATGTGTACATATAGCAGATGGGCTGCTACATGGGGTTTTGGTTTTTTGTTGGGGTGGTGGGAGATTATAGCAATATCGAGTGCCACCATTTGTTTAGCACTTGAGTGGTCAAAATACAGTCTCTTTTGCTTACCCAGAAGTGCTTCCTTGCCTTATTTAATATACTGTGTTAGGTAGGTCACAGGATAATGGTGATCTCTGAGAAAGAGTTTTATAAAAAATAATGGCAAATGCAAATGGGAGCAGAAGCAGGAAAGTACTGTTGTCTACAAGCTGCCACTTTTTCTGATTCAGCTTCAGTTTTGTATTTTTTTACATTTTGTCCAAATGTGTGGTTTCATTGGCTTGGGGCATTCCCAGTGTACAGCCTCCCTCCACAGGCACAGCAGCTGGTGATCTGCAACTCATGATCTTAGAGCATTATCTGGTGCACTGCGAATTAAGTGACTTGTCCATGGCCACACAGTCAGGTCTTCCTGACCCGAAGGCCAACCTTTTATACCATACTCACTTGCAGTATTATTCTAGAGGGGGAAATTATCCACAGAAGCAACTAAGCATCTAAAGAGCCTTTTTCATAGAGCTCCAAGGTGCTTTGTAGACCGTCTGGGCCAAGGTTCTTCCCCTGAGGCCCACTGACCCCCACAGTCTGTGGATGGATCTCAGGGGGCCTGTGAACTTGGAGGGAGAAAACACAACATTTTTATTTCCATTACCTGAAATTTAGCATTTCTTTCCATTACATAAAGCCCCTCTCCTTGGAGTCCATAGCCATTGGGCCTCCACTCAGACAGCCACAGCACCCACTGGCCTCAGAAACCAAGCCACACTTGACATGGTGGCCCTGGAGGGAGACAACCTTAGAAAAGGCGTTCAGAGCATCCTTGTAAGAGGTTGCTGCTTTAACACCGGGAAAGTATGAGGACCTCCAGTGTCTCAGGGCACACTGCCATTTCCCTACTGCTTCCCACCAGGAAGTCCCAGGCTGCTGACATAGACAACTAGTGGGAATGGAGGTGGCACTCAGCCTGTGAATGCATGAGAAAGGCTGGAGACCTTAACAGTTGTTTTAAAGTAAGTTTGACTACTAACCAGTAGGCAGTTTGGCTGTCTGTTTACTAGACCAAAATTAGGTTAACAAAATAGTCTGGTAAATGAGCTTTGATATTTAAAACACCTGTAAAAGTCTGTGCCTTTCCCATTGCATTCAACTGAAATGATCAGAGGATTTGGAGCTGGAAGAGGTCTGACTGATCATCAAGGCCAGGGGTTCTTAAAACCTGGGCTCTATGAATTAAAAACAACAACAACAACGATGTAGTTGGTTTCCTTTGTAATCCTGCGTGTTTTATTTTATGTACTTGAAAAAAACATTATTCTCAAAAGGGTACATCCATTGGCTTCACTAAATTATCAAAGGGGACCATGACAAAAAATAGGTTAAGAACTCCTGATCTCCCTCATTTTGCAGATAAGGAGACCAAGTGCCATTACGATTGAGTGACTTTCCCAGGTTCACATAACAAAATTGGGATTTGAACAGAGATGTTTCCCTAATAGAGTATCCCCTAATGTGATATCTTGCTATACCAGGAAGAGTCCAATGGACTGAAAATAGACACAAGAGATTTAGCGTCTTAGGTTCTTAAGATAACGTCTGTCACTGACTCACCGAGGGACCCTACAAAAACAAATTCTGTGGCCTGTTTGGGTCTCCATTTTCCTACCAAGAAAATGGTTTTATGAGGTAATTTGCCTACCCCATTGGGGTCGAACTAATGTGATATGGAAGGACTAAGAGCTATTATACATATGAAATAATAAATTATAAGCAGTGCCTTACACAGATGGCTGTTGATCTCATCATTGAATTCCTGGCTTAAAGGAAATGACATGGCATGAGCGGGTGTTTTTGACCTAAGGTCCCTATGTAATATAATAATAAGATGCTGCTTATTTACCTTTTGTTACATATCGATCAGTTCCTATGAATTCCTTGATGATTTTAAATTCCATTCTTGTTTATGGAAATTTAAGTATTTTATTACTTCTAGTCCTCAGTTAAGTTCAAATGTTTGATGTTTCTTCACATGTCTTAGGATTAGGAGTTTTAGAAAAAAAGACATTGATTTGGTATTCTTGTTTTTCTCCTCTAGGAATATGATAACACTTTGCTTTTGTAGTCTATAAGCACCTTATAATTTGTAGCTTTGAAGAGGCTGGCATGTCAGAATCTTAATTTTGCAGTTATAAAATTTGACTGGTAGTTTCCTACTTAGTTTCATTTGTTTAAAAATTGAGCAGAAGAACTGATTGTGTGAGATAATAGTAAATATTATAGTACTTTGAAATGCTTCCTGTTAAAATGGCAAAATTCCTATTTTTATGGGGGTCATGCAAGAAAATCAATGGTCAGAATTTTGTATTCACTGATGTATTCATTCTTTAACATTTGTTCTGCTTTTCCCTATCCCCTTGAAACTTAACTACCATGGACTCATCTTCTTTTAGCCAATGCATTGTTATACATTAAAAATAATTGATGGGTTAATGGGCAGACTTCTAAGATAAATTATGCTAACACTACTCAGATGCATTTTTTTCTTATTAGGGGAAAGGAGCTAAACTACAGTGGTACCACCACTAAGCAGAGTAGCCATTTAAAAAAAAATGTAAGTAAGCAAGTCTTTTTTTTCTTAACAGGTTCTTCCAAGTAAAGAAAAGGCAATTTAGGGAATATAGGCTGAGTCTCTTTAAGACAGAGAAAATTCTGTCTTAGATCAGAGCATCATATTTTCACAAGATGATTGCTTTGGCAGTAATATATGGAGTATATTCTAAAAAAGCATTGCTTTCCATTAATTAGTGATATGCAAGCAAGTCAGCGTACCATAGCCTTAATTGCAGAAATGATCCACACCGCTAGTCTGGTTCATGATGACATTATTGATGATGCAAGCTCTCGAAGAGGAAAAGACACAGTTAATCAGATCTGGGGTGAAAAGAAGGTATGTTTGTAGCTCTTTTAACAGAGTTAAGTGGTAATTGGATTATACTCATCTTTTAGATTTGCCTAATTTAAGAATTTTTTTTAAAACTGACGTAGTATTCATGTTGAGATATGTTATTTTGAAAGTAACTTTGTAAATCTTAAAGTGCCATAGAAATATGAATTGTATGAATTGTTGGATACCACAACAGATATTTGGTTCATCAGAAAAAGCTATATAATAAATCACTTAGATCACTCTAATTTGGGGGGGGAGTTCAAAATTCTCAGTTAAAAGGAATGCAAAAAAATATGTGTTTGATATCCTGTTTGTGGCTCAATTTTGAAAAGGCTAGTGTGCTATTATGAGTGGAGGGCTGGCATTGGAGTCAAGATCTGGATACAGGTCCTGCCTCTGACACATACTGGTTGTATGACCTTGGTTAAGTCACTTAAACTCTTAGTTGCCCCTAGAAAACTCACTAATGCTACAAGTTATAAAAGTTTCCACACCAGGAGTTATGTACTGAACCCATCAGAAGTCTATACCCAAAAAAGTCTACTGTAAACATTTTGTCTTTTAAAATAATGGACATGTAGGGTTTAGATTTTTTTTTTTTAGTATAAACATGTATGCATGCTCTTAAAACAGATTCATCATCAATCTATCAAAGTAAAAGGCTCATAAGATTTCTTGGGAGTGTATAAAATGAGGTTGTTTTTCCTTTGTAAATGTCTATCAGAGGAGACTGAGAGAAAGTATAAAGAATGAGAATCAAGAGTCCTAAAATAATTTTGAAAATGAGTTTTCGACACTTCTGACCCTTTGCATTGGGCAGCTAGTGATGCAGTGAATAGAGCGCTGGGCCTGGAGTTGGGAAGACCTGACTTTGAATCTTGTCTCAGACACACTGGGCAAGTCAGTTAATCACTGTCTACCTTAGTTTCCTCAGCAGTTAAATGAGGAGCATAATAGGAACCTACCTGAAGATTGTTGTGAGGATCAAATGAGATAATGTCTGTAAAGTGCCTAGCACATCAGCTTTGAACATATTAAATACTTGATATTCTCTTTCCCTTCTTCTCCTTTCCTTCCCTTCCCTCCTCGCATTTCCATTCAATGAAAATTTTAGTACGCATGATATCTAGTGCACTGTGCTAGGTGCTGAAATTACAAAGAAATATAACAGATGATACTCTGAAAGAAGCTAGTATTTAAAAAGATGTATGAAAAGAATTATGATACAGAATCATATAAGATAAGCAGAAATGGGGGAGGCAGGCAAAATGCTATATGAAACTAGAATTAGAGATTGCTTTCAGCTGGGGGAAGGTCAGGGTAGCTTTCGTGAGAGAAATGATATCTAAGTTAGACCTGGAAGGGAATGAGGTACTTCAGCAGATGTGAAAAGGAAAAGAAGCCATTGGGGTTAGTGTGAGTAAACACATGGAGATGAAAAACTAAAGACCAGAATGGGAGGGCAAACATAAAGGGGAGTGTTAGGAACTAAAGTTGGAAAGGGGAGGTAGGTCAGCCTGATTGAGGACTTCAAACTGTTCAGAATAAGGAGTTTAGAAGTATACTCAGTAGATATAGAAAGATGGGATTTAGAGTTGGAAAGAAACTTAGAAACAAAATAATAAGTCGCCTTCTATTTCCTCTGCCTTCTCCCCCCACCAAATAGTGCAGATGAGAAAAATGAAGCTCAGAAAGATTAAGTGACTTGTCCGAGGTCAGCTAATAAGTTTCAGAGGTAAGATTTGAACCCAGTTCTTGTAATTCTAAATCCATGGCTCTTTAGACTATACCACTCTTCCTCTCCATAGATTACGGGAGGTCCCAAAAGGATTTTGAGTTGAGATCTGTTGGTAGAGGGAGTTCCTTACATCGATGAAATCATGTTCCCTTCAGTATTAGTCACCTATGTTCACATTCCACAATTGATCCATTTTTCAACCATTGGACATGTGAGTTGTTTCTAGTTTTTTTGCTGATATAAATGAAACATTGTGATATAAATCAACGTTGTGAAATTTTTTGTGTAGATTAATCCTAATAGATTACTAGATCAAAAAGTATGATCAGTTTTGTCACTACAGTACTGTGAGATTTACAATGTCCCTAAAATCACATTATACCTTTGCATAAAACCAGTATTGAAAATTGCCCTTTTGGAGTTTGTGAGGCTTGGTAGTGGTGCTATTGAGAGATCCCAAAGTGGTCTCTTGCCCCAAAGGATGGTGGATAGCTCACTAGTACCAGCATCTAGCTGTAGCTTCCATTTACAAGTTCTAGAATATTGATAGCTCTCTGAGATAGCTCGTATCCTTGCTCCTCTTTTAATCATAACTCTAGTGAAAATTGCACCAGGATTAAAACAGCTCTGATGATTCACTTCAAACTCATCAAATCGGCAAAGTTAAAAAAAAATGGAAGCAATGTAGGAAGGAATCTGGAAAGACAGGCACACTAATACATTACATTATTGGTGGACCAGCTATTCTGGAAACGGATTTGGAACTAGGCAAAAAAAATTAAATGTTCATATCCTTTTGTAGAGGCTGACTGCAACCCCCAAGGACAAAGACAGAAAGAAAAGTACTATATATTACAAATATTAATAGCTATTCTTTTTGTGGTAGCAAATAACTGGAAGCGAGTGCCCATTGTCTGGGAAAAAGCTAAGTAAACTGTGATGCATTAATCTAATGGGCTATTTCACAACGTGAAATGGTAGTGAGGAATTCAAAGGGAACTAAGAAGATTTCTAAGAACGGATTCAAAGTGGAGTAAGCAAAACTTAGGAAACCAGTATGTACAGTAAAGACAGCAATGTAGAAGAGATGAAGAAATTCAGCTTGCTCCTTTTGTTGGAGAGGCAGAGGACCCTGAGTTTGGAATGCATCGAAAGACTCACTGGATTAGGGTGGGAAGTGGTGTGTTCAGATAGCGTTCTAATGCAAAGATAAAAGGCATCAATAAAACCCACTGGGATCCTGGAGACTTTGAGTGCAGCCACTAACTGTGAGGGCCTTAAGATGTCTTTTAACTTCTTCAACTCTTCATTACCTTCATCTACAACTCCAGGGGTTTGACTAGATGATTTCTAGTGTCTCCTTGAGCTTTGAAATGCTACGATGTCCCTTTGAATTCTCTTTGATTCTGTAATAACAACTCACATTCCTCTACAACCTTAAGGTTTTATATAGCATTTTTCTCCCTCCAACTCTGTGTGGGTAGACCAAGGGTGTCAGAGGCGCCCCAGTTGCAGGCACAACATTTCTCATGTGTGTCTGGAACCAGATTAAAATGACATTGGTAAATGTTGAACAAAGTAATAAAAATACAATAAAACATAGGTAGTTATCACATTTTAAAACTTAATAGGAAGACCACACGGTTCTTTTTCTACAGTTTAGTGGCCTCTAGTTCTATTTAAGTTTGACACCACTGGTCTACATCAGTAAGAGCAGGGTCATTATCTTCGAAAGCTGCATATTAACATTATCTGTGTTCTTTTGTATTTATAATTGTTTTGTTAAATATTTCCGAGTTATATTTTAATCTGGTGCAGGCTGCACTGGGACTGTGCTGGCCCCATGTTTGACACTTCTGGTATAGACCATGTAAACTGTCTTGTTTCGATTTTACAAATGAACAAACTGAGTTTTTGAGAGAAGAAATAACTTGCCCGTATTTATGTGGTTGGCAAAGCCTGGATTTAACTTAGGTTTCACATCTGCCTCCACCTCCTGTAGCTTTCCAAGTGTCAGAGATTTATCAATCGATGAGTATTTTTATTAAATGACTACCATGTCCCAGCCATTGTGCAATATAAACTCAAGAGCTATAAGTACAAAGAATGTAACTTATCACCTAACAGAGGAAAAATAAAACTATGTCTACATAAAAATAAAGCAATTGAAAGCAGGATAACTTGGGATGAAAAGATATTTATTAAATGCTTGCTATGTGCCAGGCATAGTGCTGAATATGCAGATATTAAAAAGAGAGTGGTGGTTCCTGTCTTGAAGAAGCTTTTAATAGAAGATAACAATCTAGGGGAGCGGTGACCAGGGAAAGGAGAGAAAGAACAATCAGATCATTAGTTAATGTTTTTTCCAAAAGTTAATGGTACTTCTGGTTATGGCAGGTGGGTCATGGCAAGATGACATGGGTAGATGATTGGACAGTATGTAGGGGTGAAGCATTGATTAGGTTCTGCCCATAGATATAGTGAGCTGAGAAGACTAGTTTGCACTCACACAGGTGCCAGTCAACTGGAGTAAGAACTCTAAAGATGAGTGCATGAACTTTCTCAGGGATTGGGGGCTTAGATTCTGGAGGTCAAAAAGTTTAGGGCACCGTTCTCCATGATTTGGCCAAACTTCCTGAAATACTCAAGACACACTCTTCTGGGCAGTGCTAATCACTCAGTGCCTAGTTCTTCATTATCAGATTCCCCTGATGAGCATGATACAGTATAATTGTAGAAATCACATTTTCCTTTATAACACTTAATTCGAGTCATGCCATGCTAAACTGATTTTAGGCAAACATCCTAATCTCCTTAATTGGAAATGGGAGATACCTTGGGCTTTTTCAAGGTTTGGGAGAAATACCCTGGTAACAGTAATACATGTTTCAGTAGATAACATTATGTTACTTCTATAACCTTTGGAAGGAGGGAGAGAGTAAGCAGTACCTTAGGGTGATTATGCATAGTATTAAATATGTTAAATTAATTTGTTTTTTATTTGATTGTAACACTAAACTGCCTTTTTTATATTCTCATAATGTGCTACCATGTAGCATGGTTACCTACTCACTGCTTCTAAAAACTTAAAGGGGATGTGTTATCATAGTTCATTTAGTACATATAGGAGCACAATAGTCCTCTAGAAATAAGCACATTTTCTTACTGCGGAAAGTATTTGGAAAGTATTTTTTATGCCAGTAGAGGGCGGGTGTGTGGGAGATTCATGTTTTGGTAAGGACAGTGATTTCATTGGTGTAAGAAATTATCTGGATGTAAACTCTCCTTACTGATGAAGCTCAGAGTCTCTGTAATTTAGAGTCTTGGTTGTTTGGGTGTCTGAAAAGTTATGTAACTTGCCTCTAGTCACATAACCTATAAGTACGAAAGGCTGGACTTCATCCCAGGTCTTCCTAATGATGCCGTCCCTCTCAATGTGCCATGCTGCCTTTCTATTTGTGTGTGTGTGTGTGTGTGTGTGTGTGTGTGTGTGTGTGTGTGTGTGTGTAGATGCTAGTGGTTGTTCTGATCACCAAGAAATATGAGAATTCCAGAATTCTCAAAGTGCATTGAAAAATGGAAGTGAAGAACCTTTTGCAGGAAACTGACAACTTGTCATAACATTAAGAATGATGGGAGTAATCCTATATTTTAGGGAGAGGTAAAACTTAAGGGTCTGGAATTGTCTTGTAGAAAATGAATTTTCATTCTCAGGTAAAGTATGTGATCTAATGGGATGATATAGTTTCTTTTGGCCTTCGTTTCTATGATACTTAATTGTAAAATAGTTTTACTTTTTTCTTTTTTTTTAAGGCTGTTCTTGCTGGTGATTTTATTCTTTCTGCAGCTTCTGTAGCTTTGGCACGAATTGGAAATACAACCATCATTTCTGTTTTAACACAGGTCATTGAAGACTTGGTGCGTGGTAGGTTGTTTTTAATTTTCTTTTTTAAAAGTTACTTTTTGTTGTTTATAATTTAGCAAAACAATAAAAGCCCAATCAGAATGAGCCCTTCACATCTTTTCAGGTGAATTTCTTCAACTTGGGTCAAAAGAAAATGAGAATGAGAGATTTGCTCACTACATTGAAAAGACCTTTAAGAAGACTGCAAGTCTCCTAGCCAACAGTTGTAAAGCAGTATGTACGTTCTGTCTTTTTGTCAAGTTAACAGAAGTTTCATCTCTGAGTCTTTGATACTTCTGGAAACAAATTCAAAAGAGAACCTTAAAATAGTACCCTACACCTTAAAAACTTACTCATCAAGACTTTTATCCCAAGCTTTGTTGTTTCCAGTTTTTCTATCTTTTTTCTATAGACACTGACTTCCATTCTATTCTTGAGCAACAAAAAGTTCTCTAAATTAATCTGTCAGCTTGCTAAGCATTTAAATAGCTAACATTCTTTTGAACTGCTTGAAATAGTTGGACTACAGACACTTCTGGTTTCACTGCTTTAAAAAATCTGTGAAGCTCCTGGCTTACTTTTTTATAAAATTCATATAGTTTTACAAAACCCCCATTTCCTCCCCAAAGTAAACAAAGAGTCCAACTCCAGTGCCTCATGTAGAGAAGACCCTGAGTTCTTGAAGGTTATGCCATGGATTGCAAGCTCTGAAATTGGCTACTGTGATGAAAAGGTTTTTTAGTACAGGCCTATAAACCATGTATGCCCTATAAAGATCAGTCATGTTAAAACATAGAGGAGAACATGCTAAGAAATAGTTTTTACACCACATATAAAGATTAACTACTAGCATTTGAAATGTGAGATCTTTGTCCAATGACTAATGAATTGACACGCTACTAGAACAATGATACCATTTCAGTATCTATCACTCCACAAGAAATATATTGGTTGCTGGGATGGGATGAGAACCTTGGGTAAATTGGTCATTTTTAGAATTTATTATATAGAAGGAGAAGATAGCTGAGCATAGTCTAGTCTAACATGGCTGTAAATTTTAGGAAATCAGATTTCAAAGAAAGAATAGGTAAGATCCTAGGGCCTAAAAAATTCTAGAAAATCATTATAGGAGCATTGCATTTAAGAGTTAAATGCTGAAGATACAAGAGAAAACATTCCAATGAAAAGGAGGAGTTGTGTAAAAAGGCTGCTGTTGATGCCCTCGTCAACAACAAGCATAGTACAGCCTAGGAAGAGTAGTGTCAGGAAAGTCAAAGCTTAGAAGGAGCTGGAGCTGACGAGGAAGAACGAAGGGTTTTTTAAAAGGATATATTAGGAAAGAGAAGTATCAAGAGAGGAGATAGGACTGGCACTCAGGGTGGATAAAATGATAATGATAAAGGATGAGCCAACTCTTAATTTCTCGTTATTGGTTTTTTTGTTTTTCTGCCGAGGAAACTGATTTTTAGACTGGAGAGAAAGAATAAAAGCTGCTAATGGGGAATTAAACTCAAGTAGGGAAATCGTAATCTAGCTGTCCTTGAGTTCAGGTCACCGGACCCAGATGAACTTCATTCCGGTATATTTCAAGAAGTGGCGAATGTGATTGCTGAGCTATTGTCAGTGGTCTTTGAATGATTGTAGAGGATAGGGTTTGTCTGACTCTTCATGACCCCATTTGGCATTTTCTTGGCAAAGATACTGGACTGGTTTGCCATTTCCTTCTCCAGCTTATTTTACAGATGAGGAAGCTGAGGCAGACAGGGTTAAGTGATTTGCTCGAGGTCACACAGTAAGTATCTGAGGCCAGATTTGAACTCAGGCAGTTGAGTCTTCCTGACGCCAGGCCTGTCACTCAATCCACTGTGCCACCTAGCTGGCTAGAGGATAGGGTTAGAAGATGGCAAATGTTCTATTTTTCCAAAAACTATGAACCAGTAAGCTTAATTCTGATTTCTAGCAAAATTCTATAACATTATTAGAGGGATAGTTAATAAACATCTAGGAAAGGAATTAGCAATCCCAAATACTCATAGCTTCATCAAGAACAGTTAATACCATATTGGTGTCATTTCATTTTTGACAGGGCTACTAGGCTGATGGAGCAAGGGAATGCTATCGACCTAGCTTACTTTGATTTTAGTAAAGCATTTCACAATCACTTATTCTATTCTCGTGGAAAGGATGAAGGGATGTGAGCCAGACAATGACTAACAATTAAATTAATTTGGACCTGGCTGAATCAAAAAAAAGAAATTGTCATAAGATCATTGCCTTAGTATTGTAAAGGTACTCAGTGGCATCTAGTCCAAGCTCCTCATTATAAAGATGATACAGGGCCAAAATAACCAAGTGCCAAGGTCACACAGGTCTCAGAAGATCTGGGGTCTTAAACTTGAAATGTGATGCCTTGTCTGCTTCAGCATGTTGCCCCCATGACTATGCTGTTTCACAGTCATGGCTTGTGTGATGGAATAGATTATTTATTGAGTTTGCAGGTGACAGAAAGCTATATTGCATGACAGAATCAGAATCTAAAAAGAACTTAACTGGATAGGTTTGGGGCTAAATATAACAAGATAACATTTAGTAGTAATGCATGTGAGATTTGACTTCTTATTTTAACCAAAGTTTGATTGTCCAGGTACAAGATGGGGGGGGGTACATGTAGATGTCAGCTTGTCCAGAAAAGAATCTAGAAGTTTAGTGAGATGTGATGCATCTCAAGCTCTGTTTCCTTGCCACAGTGTCTTGGACTAGGGAGGTTTTAGCCAAATCTGAAATGTTGTGTCCATGTGTAAGTACCATATTTTAGAAAAGATTCTGAAAGTTTGTGGAAGTCTCATATCTTCATAGTTTGATATGTGATTCAAGAAGAGAATTCAAACTCACTAGACATTTACTATTAAGTGCTTTCACAGTACAAAGCACTGTAAGTGCTGAGGATGCCAAGAGAAAGACTGTGCTCTCAGGGAGCTCACATTCTAAGAGAGAAATCAACTACAAGTCAGATGGAAAGGTCCCATGATCCTTAGGGCAGTGCAGCAAAGGAGATGGTAATGCCTCTTCTTTAATGTCATTTCTACTAAAAATCAGATTAGTTTCTGATGTTAGACCATTTGACAGTGCCAAGGACTTTGGTGTCAAAAGCTTTCTTCTCTGGGTCTTCTATAGCTGTGGTTGTAGCACCTGCAGGAGTAGTTCTAGGCAACATCTCCATAGTTACTGCTTCCCAGGATGACAGTGAGGACTCTGGATTGGAAGCATTGCTCTTCCCAAGGCTCTTGGGCTCATGGTCCTTGGCTGACTCCATCAGGATCTGAGGGGAAAATGGTGATGATGATGATGATTTGACTTACCTGGCCCTGTGGCCTTCCTTTCTCTTTGTCAGAGTTCCTTGCTGCTAAGGCCTTTTTGCCTGCCCTGTATGTGGCAGTTGGTTGGCAATTAGTAGGAGTGACTGGTCCCTATTAGTATACACTAGTATCACAGAGACTTAAGAGCTGTGGTGTCAAGCATACCATGGGCTGGTAGCCAGCAACACTCCTGAGTGTGCCAAAACCAAATTAAAATGTATTTGAGAAATATTTAATAAAATTAATAAAAATAGAATAGTACATGGATAGCGTCAATGTGTAGTTTTCAAAGTCAGTATGTAGCCCACAGGGATCCTTATATGTGGTTTAGTGGTCTCTCCCACCTTTCTATTTGAGTGTGACACCACTGTTTCAGATAATCTCTTTAGGATTGCAGAGAATTTAAAAGAATTTCTCGATAATAAACAACATGAAATGACTGGATATCAGTGACTTTGCAGTCAGTTAAGAGTCTACCTGATAATAGGAAAGGTCAAAATCCAAATTAAGAGAAATTATTACTATAACAAGATGTTGATTGAATTATAACAGCTCCAATAAAGCTCTTGACTCTGAGAAATGGATTAAGATAAAGACATTGACTGTGGTTATCGATATTTTTTACAGAAGTTTAAGTAATGGAAGATAGAAAGCCAAAACAGCTTAGAAAACCAGTCAGCCTGCGACAACTAGTGGTCCTGGCCAAGTGAAGAGATACAGTAGGCTGGGCCACTATAGGGCTTAGCATAGTCATTTGCAAAACGTTATAGACAAGAATGATTGAAATTTACTTCACAAAATTTTGAAAAACAGTAGAGAAGAAAATAAGTCTACAGCTAGCTTGACAGGAGAGTTAATTATATTATATTACCTCAGAAGCATTTTTTAGTTCAAATTGGATGTCAGCAATTTAGCAGAAGTGCAACATATTGACCAGGATTTCTGAAGTGATAGAGCCCAAATGTGGGTTAGAAATTCCTCATTGTCTGTTGTGAAGAAAGAGAAATTTTCCTTAGGATTTTGAAGTTAGCTCTGGAGTGGAGGTCTAAAGTTATCTAGTCTTATCTCCTTCATTTACCAGAAACCTAGAGGGGTTGTGACTTGCCTGAGGTCACAGTAAAACCAAATTAAACCCAGGTTTTCTGACTCCAAGGAGATGATATCAGAAGGGGCCAGACCAAATATAAATAGATGAAACCTGTGCTAGAAATAACACAATTTTCAAAGCACTCAGGTAATTATTTCCAAAATAACTCAAAAAAAGAAGATTCCAAAACTAAAAAATATCAGATATGTTATTATAAGCAAAAAAAGTGACAAGGAGATCATGCAAAACTAACAAAATATGCCTATTTTCTCATCTCTTTAAAATTTTTGATGTACTCACGTAACAAAGGTATCATTCTTTGATGAAAATGATGCCAAGGGAACATGCAGGTTTTTCTCAGTGGAACACATCTTCACTTTCCCACAGTTGTTTGAGAGGCATGAAGAATGTGATACAATGTGTGTATCTACTGAAAAGAAGCAGGAAAAGGGATTTGATTGCATTTGGAAAATTGGCACATTGTTTTCGTTGGTCCCAAGGGGTTTCCAGACATAAAAACCTTTTCAGCAGTAATATTCTTCTATGATACCTTATGGCTGTAGCTCATGGCACAACACAACTTCCAAAGGATTGAGATCAAAATTGCCTACGACCTAGAGGACAATGGAGAGATGTCTAGTGGGTATAACTAAGCTGCACCATTACCAGTGATGACTTTGAGGAAGAAGTGCTATAAAATGCACCATTAAGAAATTCTATGAGTAGGAAAGGAGGTGAGCCAGGCAGGAAGGAGAGAGAAAAACTGGAACCTGCTGGGTGTTGCGCGTTAA